CGTTTGTAAAATGGTCATTGAGTTGAATTGTTTTTCAACCGTGTTATCGGAGATCTCCGGATTGACGTCACAGGCATTTTCGGCCTCGGTAAATTCGCGGCAAGTATCATCGGCTGTCCAAAGGGTCAACGAGAACCTAGCGAAATGGCAGACGGCCTAGCAGCGGCATGTTTGTTAGTAGGGCAGACTTTTATCTGGAATCGATATAAAGAGAGAAGTATCGCTCATCAGTCTTGATATTCTGATCGAATATGGAAGTTTTTTATCGCACGAATCTTTCTGACAGAGAAGTCAAATTGTCAAAGTAGGCCAGCGAGACAGAGACATGAGGATGTTGACAGACTTTCGTGGAATGTTGCTTTTGAAGCAATTTATATTGGCAGGCCAGTTCCCTGATTTTAAAAAGAAGATTCGCGCTTTTTCATCAGCTCTTCCTTTAGTGCAACAGCTGAAAAAATCATCGCGCAATTAATTCGAGAGGAAAGACCAAAACAAAACCAGTATACCGGGAATGAAAGCTGTATGAATTGATACCACATATTCATTAGGATAAAGAGCTTCATATCAACATGACTATGACTTATTAGAAATAAACCAGGACAATCGAGGGCATGGACAAGAAAGTATACAAACTTTCAAGACAAGACTAAAAACCTACCATTAGTCATGAGTCAAACAACTTTTTCAAAAATTATAAATTTGTTTTTATACAAACAAAAAAGGGATTTGAGATTATATTAATGATTCAACTTTTTCAATATACTTGTGTAAATATAATTTTTGTATTTAACCTTTAAGCTATTACAGGGGCCTTGTCAGCTCCTTTAAGCTGTCAGAATTTCAACCTGCTTTATTTATGAATAATAAATACATGTTTGATGTATTTAAATACTTGGCTACATTGAATTATATATTCAAAAATCTAAACAATCAGGCCAGTGAACTATCTAGAAATTTGTAATTTCTATTGCATGTGAGAAATGTTCTTATAAAAGTATCATGAAACAATAATCTATTGCAAAATTTCTAGAAAATACCTATATGTTGTTACTAGTTTTAAATAATAGCAGTGGATTTGCAAACATTATATAGATATGACCAAATTATATATAAAATTTTGATAATTTTAAAAATAGTCTCCTTTGTAAAAATGTTAATACAAAAACAGAATAATGTGTTGAGGTCTTTGTGGTAACTCTTGCATGGAAGAGAGGGGCAAGTTATCACTCCTACAAAGCCAGTAGCCAGATAACAGAATGCATGTAATCTCCAACCTTCATCTAGCATTTTTTTGCAAGATCCTTTCTGCTGAACCATAAACAGTTTGTTACCTTTTTATGCCTAGAATAATAAGGTTGACAGGGATAAATACTAACATACCAGTGAAATTTACTTTTGAGTCATATTAAAACATAAAATGATCAAAGAAACTTGGACACTCAGGGGCATTCAGAGTATAGATATTTAAAAGGATCAAAGAGAAATTTAGGGGTGAAAGGGCAACCACTGTTACTATAGCAAGCATCTAAGGATATTAACTTGAAGTAACACAAAGATGAATTTAAATGATATAGGCCATGCTTATATGAATCAATGCTAGAATAGCAAAGGTAATTTTAACAAATATAAACAATTCTGCCTTTAAAACATTAGAATGAGGATATGACACATCTTTTTTCCAAAACCAAGGGTGTAAATTCCATGTTTTTTCTTTGGGGTAGTAGATCTTTTGCCCTGGATATTGATCTGGCAAAATTTTGAAATTGTGAATCAATTCTATGATGAAATAGGCAGAATTCCAAAATTGAAGGCAGAACATGGTAGAACATGAAGAAAAAGGGTTCAGGGAAACATCAGACAAACCCTGGGAAATTTTACACATCTATACCTCGGGCAAAGGTGTAGTGCACAGATCATTGGCAGGGATGTAGTGCTAGGAGGCTCAGGCCCCCTTATTGGTACAAAAAAGTAGCAAACTTCTACTTTTGGTACTATTTTATGTGACATTTTGCTTGAGAGCCCCTGTTGTACTTTTCATATTACCACATTTCTGACTATTTGGGGGACACTTCACAAGACTGTTAGAAAACTTGTATTTAGAGTACGAAGTTTTTCTCAAAGCCTGGCAAATTGCTTTGCTTAGGGGGTGCGTGTCACACCATCCCCAAACCCCCTCCAAACCTCTACACCCTGCAGTTTGGCCTAACATTCAACATAGTAAAATGATAATAAGGATGAATTGTGACTTACGGGAAAGTTTCCATCTTGTGAATGGGGTTCTTCTTCTAATGCGGTGAGACATCAATTATTATTCAGCTCCCTGGAAATTCCTGAGATGACACGACGATAAGAAATGCCTTCGGTCAGAAATCCATTCACATCTGAAAATTCGTGAAGCATTCCATATTAAAAAGCTTGCTGCGTTGCCAAGATGAGGATATGCGTTCAGGTTGAAGCTTCCATCTTTGATTTGTCGAATTACTAGTCCATGTTGGCTGGAAGCCTCCGCTGAACATCAATCGCAATGAAGGAAAATAAATAAAACGACAACCGAGATTCCGACATGAATCGTCTCTTCCGAGCCACTACCGAGTCGTGCGAATTTCAGTGCGAACGTATAACAATAGCGCCGAATGTTGAAACAATGGTCCCTTCATACGTCACAAGGTACTTTTTCCGAAAAAAATTTTGTCGTATTTTTACGGTGATTCTCAACTTTGAGCGTCTATATCTGGAAAACGAGTTAAGCTTTTCGAAAAAAAATTTCACGATAGCTTCTTTTTCTCGACTAACTACCAATTTATGCAAAAATCTCAGAAAAAATTTTTGGGCTGGAGTGGCCCTTTAAATATACTAAACAAAATGCCTCTACTTAGCATCTTAATGTCAAAATCATGTTTTTGACTGATTTATGTATCAGGGTTTCAAAAAAAGTTCTAAAAAATTTGTGAGACACACACACCGTTTGTAATTAACTAATTAGTGAGGAGCGGTTGTTGTCACAGCAACGAGTTGTCAAGATGTTATGCACATTTTTGTCATGTTGCACACCTGAAATACTAGCTACTGTAAATGCCTCTTTCGTCTTCCTCGCCCAGTTAAAAATTAGCAAATAGCTAGTTGAAAAAACTTTAAAAAATACGTAAAAGCAGGGACTGATCTTTTGAGGATCTTTGTGTGTTACAATTTATCAGCATACTGCTAGAATAATGCATATAAATCAGTTTGGGACATGGGTGTGGGCATGGGTGTGGGCTAAGGGTGTGGCATGTATGCTGAAAGGTTGTAAGGGGCTCGAGGGCTGTAAAACACAAACTGATAGGGAGCTGAGGCCTTTTTTTTGTAAAATCTCCAAGTCTAGCAGATGTGTTAGTTTAGTTGTATCAAGCTGCTGTTCATGATTAACTTGTTGGTTCTAGATTCAATGCATATCAGAATAATCATATTTTGTGGTAACAAAACATAGCTGAGCAGGATTCAGCAAACAAGTAACCCTGATAGAGACTTCTGACCTCCGTTAACACCAACAAGCCAGATTCCTGATTTTCCTATAACACCAACGTGTTAGATTCCTGATTTCTCTAAAACACCAACATGTTACAGGCACCGTGGAGAAGGGGGGGCTGGGGGGGCTTTAGCCCCACTTTTTGCAAAAAATGCCAAATATTAAGTATCAAACTATCAGAAAAGCCTCTTTTTATACGGTTTTAGCCCCCCAGGTGTCTCTATTCTCAATGTCAATGCAGATATATGCTTTTATCATGAAAAAGTTGTAACACAGAGGTTTTTGCTATACCAAAAGAATTGCTGCAACCCTTTCAAAGCCCATCAAAATGAAGTAAAAGGTGAGTAAAAATATAATTATGCATCGATTCCTTATTGCATTTTGAATCTGATGGCAACTCTTGGGCAGTGTTTCATGATAAGAAGCATTTTTACAAGTAGTTCTCTGAAATAAAGAAATAACATGGCCCCAGAGAAAATATATCGTTATAGGAATAAAATAGAAACGGATACAAAAAGAGATGATTTTGACTTTACAATCAACACTCAAAATAACGCAATTCTTTTCTTTTCTAAATGAAACCTGTGCTTTTCATTGTGGTTCTTCATGCTAATGTGTGTATTGAACAGTTCTTTCCAACCAAGGCAAAATTCAAATAATGTCAAGTGTTTGTATCTCTTTTTGTGATGTCACTGAAACCTTTATATCTTTTAGGTGGGTTAAAGGAGGTAAAGCTATCCCTTGCAAAGGAGCTTTCCCATCTTGGTTACCATATCACCCCTGGTAATAAACTTTGCCCCAACTGTCGTATACAGGCAACTACCAGAATTCATGATGATGTGAAAAAATCTGGGGTTTATAACATCGATGAAGTGAATGATGATGGAGTATGTGATAAAGATGCACCAACTGACACAGACAGAGATAGCTCAAATGCTTCGATGAAAGATATATTTGTCTCACCTATCAAGCTCCATTCTCTACCAAAGCATGCAAAGTTAAGTCATGGCAAACGAAAGTTAGCACAGGTCAAATAAGCTTTCTCAAAGAAGGTTGCCAAGGTCCTAGAAATTGACACCACAAAATTAACTGAAGATGATGGAAAGCAGCAAGAACAAAGTGAAGTCTTGATGCAAAAAGCTAGAGACCTTGATGAGCTCGTTGAGCTTATGAGCTTATCTAATTAATAGAGTCTTCTTTTATTTGTCAAGATCTGCCTGCTCAATTCCTTGATTTTCCAATTGTACAGTATCACAGAAAAGGGAAGTATGTTTGACAAAGACAAACAGCTTTTTGTTGGTTAGAACACGACTTTGTACAAAACATGCAACAAAGCAAGGACATTTAATATTGAAGCTTTGACTTGCAAATGGGAACCAGGCATTAAGATTCTTTGTTGATGAAGCATATTATCAAAATTACCTTTTAAAACCTCTAGCATTTGTGTCATCTTGCTTACTTTGATTAGAGAGGAAAATGAAACATCAACATCAACTTAACTTAATAGATGCAAAAATAAATAGATTTCAAAATAAAACTATATAGACAAAATTGTTGATGAAAATAATGCAAACCTCCTTTGAAGGTTACCCAGATCACACTCGGAGGTCCAACTTTATTTATAACCTCATACATAGTTTGCTTTATAAGCCAAACCATATGTTTATATACAGTAGCTTTTGAAAAGTTCTACTCAATCATAATAAATCAAATCTTTACTTTTCCTCTTGCCTCTATGCATTGTCATTTCAAGTCTTTGCATCCTCTGGGCTGGTGCTGATTGTGCCCTTCTTCCAATATGTTGTGAAATTGCAGCTGGGAAATGGCTTGAAAATTGTGATGTGTTTGTTTCATCAGGGATCCTTTTTTGTCTTGGATTTCCCTAAGATAATTGGAATTCAGTTAGTAGAGTATAAGGATGTTAGAATGGCACAATGGGTAAGGTTACAAATGACAGGTCCAAATGAAAAGGATTCATAAATCCTACAGCAAAACAAGAATAAACTAGTGTGGAGTTATGGTGACACATCCACACGGACAGTGAAGCATATTACAGATTGAGGGGGCTAAAACATTTGGGGGGGGGTAAACATGCTAAAAACCAAGGCAATTTTTTGTAATGGTTATAAGTATGTTTTGGAATCTTGGAAGCTAGAGCCCCCCAGCTCCCTTGCTACTGCGGTCCCAGCAAATTCATAATCCAGGGCATAGTCTAGAGGTATCCAATAGGAATTTTTTTTGTGATAACTCAATTCAGATTGAAGGACAGGTGTATTTGAGAATAAATTTATAAATATGAGCTTGAAGATACTCTTTTTTGGACAATGCTTTTATTTCTTGAGATTTTGGGACATGATACCAGGAAAGGAGGAATGGTATAGATTTCTGTCAGTTTCTGAGTCATCAATATAAATGAGCTCACAAGTAACAAAACATAAATTACCTTCTGGTCAAATTCTGTCATGAATTGATATTTAGTATCCCTAGCAAAAAAATTAATAGAAAGGTTATTGTAGGTTGGTACTAAGTAAAATGACATAAAATACCTTAACATTTCAAAATTCAAAGAATAAATGATTGTTAAATAATTGCAATTTATTGATTTTACCAAATAGAAAGTAGGTGGTTCCTATGGGCTAGAGTGGTTCCTGAAATGCAGGACTGTTTTTTGCTATATATAATGCAGAAAACAATGCATGGAATCTTAATTTCAAGTTTTCTGTTAAGAAAGCAATTAGTTAAACATAACAAAGCTATGAATAAAAATTTAACAATTTGCAAACAATTTCAAGAAAATAACTTCAATAAATTTTCAGAAATGTATTATAAGCTTATCTAAAGGGCATTGGCAAAGAAAATTATTTTGGTACAGGGCAAGGGAAACCTTGCAGTGGGACTGCTGACAACTAAGCCAGAAAATGATATCTTTATCATTGTAACCAGGCTTCCAGAAAAATCATTTTATTAACCTTTCTAGAATCTTTGTTAGGTTGCTCCTTAATCTGGTTTTTTATCCTTATAGAATCTTTGTTAGGGTTCCCCATTAAACAGTTACCCCCTCCTATTTTTATAATGCCTCCTACATCCTTGCACATGACCCCTATTGCTGGCACTCTGAAAACATTGCTGTTTGGCAAAAAGCAACATATTGTCCAGAATCATTCAAGTCTTTGTGTATCACTGTCGCTGATCTTTTGACCTTTATACCCAATGAGAACTTACTTACTTTTGCATTGACCAATAATTACGAAGGCTAGTAAGGCCTAAGAATCGTGCGATTGTATGTCCTAAGGAAGGTACTCAGGCAATAGATATTGACCAACAACCGTCCTTACCATGTCTTTTGCAGATTCCTTTCCTTACTGCATCTTTCTGTCCATCTGCGATCTTCATTAACGTGATTGCACAGCGCATAATCCTTCGGTCGATTCTCCTTAGACCTAGGTGGTGCAGACTTGACACGCTCTCTGGTTTCTTTAGGGATGCAAGCAGAATGGAACTGGCTGGAATCAGTCGAAGGAAGCAGCAGGGCATTCACATTTGAATTCGGTATTCGATACGTTGAAGAAACAGCGCGATATTGGTTTGTTGATCCCATATTCCTGGTGAATATTCATTGCCTTGATCTGCTGTAATAACGTTTGATTCTTCATGTTGTGGTGACCTTTTGTCATGCAAATATCTTGACACCAGGTGTAAACTCCATATTACCATAGTAACTTCAAATAGTTATGTTGCAAAAAGAACGCTGCAGTTTTGGATCTGCCTTGTTCTTACGAACCCTGAATCTTGCGAAGTGTTACGGGTTAACAAGAAGTGGGAGCAAATCCTTGTACAACCGATTTTTTGAATGCATGGTACTTTGAGGTGGTATTTGATACTTCTTGAAGACGTCATTACAGAATGCTATTCCCAGTCTCCTTTCTAAGGGAGTGGACCTTTATTAGGGAGGACTTATAAAAAATCCGTTTACTTTTGCTCTGATGAAGTGTGCCAGGTCGAAATATAGGCTAATATTTGATTGTATTTGTCGTTGTTTGTTCTCAGCACGTTGCGGTGTTCCTTATTTTATACATTTATTGTTGACACCAATTCCAGAAATCCAGGCGCCAGGCCCTCTTTAGGTAAAATTGTGCCTTGAGTCCATTTCCCCTAAAGTTTCTCGATGAAAGCATCAACTGCGATTCACAATGAGCTCCAGATTTTTTAACATTCAAAAGGAATGCTAAGATGGAATAGCTTTAGAAGTAACGTGACAACACGGTACCACGGTACAAAGTTGGCAAGACCACGGCGAACTCGAGGGGCAAATCACTAATGAAAATGGTGTACGAGATTAAATATCACGAGTGATTAATTTGTGATTAATTTGATTTTTCAGTGATTAAAGTGATTAATTTGTGATTAATTCGTGACTTTTTAAAAATTAATCACATATTTGAAAGTGCTTTCAAATAGGTTTTCTGTGCAATCAAACCCGTTTGAAGAGGCGACATAGGGCAAGAATACATGAATAAAACGAAAATACATAATGGTAAGCCCAGTCATAGGTCAAATTAAACTACAGTATTTGTATTTGGTGAATCAAATGACAACCTATCGTGGCAGTTCGGCAGAGATTTTTGTTACGTAGATCAGCAATCAATGGGGAATGAGTATAAAACAGGGACGTTGGGCCCCTAGAAAAGGGCCGGGAGAAAATGATCATAAGAAGGCCTGCTCATTTGTATGACATCTCCAATCACAAACCACAGGTCGCCAAAAATGGTACGTACCAGGAAACCATGCACTTACGAAAAATTAAAAAAATGTTAAAGGTTCATTTGCTTCATTTGTTGGGGTGTATCCTCTTTTCTCTAACCATAGTCTCTTTAAGACTGCAAAAAATGTGGCACAAATCAATGCTGCAGTGCACATAGTGCACATTCGATACAAACACAAACGTGACAGAGCACTTTTAGGACTGCGAGCGAGGCGAGCAGAAAATCTTTCCGGCCACGCCATTTAAATTAGCTTGAAATACATCTCAGAATGTCTTTTACAATTATTTATAACGTTTTACAACTTTTTAGGCATACTTTGTTGCGTACTTCTTAGGCATACTTCTTATATTGGAATTCCTGGCTTTAAGAGATCCCCTAAACCTCGAGGCCTTGGGGCAGTTTGCTCTTCCTTGTCCCCCTCTCGGCGGCCCTGTTCATATTCCACGCATCTCTTTCACAGAGGTCTGTTTGTCCTGGGTTTTACAAACTCACTTGAAAGGGACCCACCGGGTGTCCCGCATAGCCCCAACACCCAAGCTTCGAAGTACTTAAAATCGGCAACAAAATTATATTTCATCTTTTAGTTGTTTCAGCGACCCCGGCGTGAGAACGGGGCCTTCATTTATGCTCATGTTCTCGAGTGTGTTGGCAAATTTTTGAACATGTACATTAAAGTGTTCAAAACCTTGAAAGGGACATTTAATTTTTTCAATAACATAGGCGAATAAACGTGACTAAAGATTCAAATATTTGCGCTTAATGTGACTGGTGGTTTTTTGTGATTAATATGATGTTAATGCGATTAATGTGATTTTTTGCGGTTAATGTGATTAATTTGTGATTAAAGTGTGATTATTTTTGAGAGCGTACGTGATTTTAAGCAGTGATTTGCCCCTCGGGCGAAATTGTACCAGTTGTTTTTATCTGCTGTTCAATTTGCTTGCATAAATGTAAGAATTTTCAATAGGAATAGAAGCAATGCTTAAAAGAATTTGCTTAAAATAGTGAATTTTCCAGAGAACTGGAAGCATCAAAATTCTAGTCCTTCGGCGGCAACCATGGTGCCGCTTCGGGTAGTCCATCCGGGTAGTCGTTCTTTGCCCGTCCCTTTCCCGTTACACAGATCGAGGGGCAATTCACTCTTGCAAATAGCGTACGAGATTTTCCCTAAAACAAAAGGATTTCCAGGGATTTTCATATAAAACAATAGGATTTTCACAAAAGGTGTACGAGATTTTCTTGGAGTGATTTGCCCCTCGATACAGATTTGACAGAAATATTAGGAAAGTCCGTTATTATCATAGAAAAATAGAGGTTGCGAATTATACGCCACAGTGTTAGATTGACCAGCAACTATTTTTTAATCAGGTTTATCCGGCTCTGTAGAGTAATTTGAATCACACCAGCGGTTTCACACTAACGGAAATTCTATCCTATTCAACTTTAACTCTTCATCATTCATCAGCTTCGTTTACATTCGATGAAAATTAATGTCCACACGTAATCAGCAATTAAATCCTACTACAAATCTTGGCAAGTTTTGCAGGGATGGCGCCACCTTGGGGGCAGGAGCCCCCCAAAAATTCATTGCGCCACCCCGTCGGCACTTCAATTTTTTGAAAAATTTCAAGCAATGTCGGCACTTTCATTTTAAGCAATGTCGGATAATTTTTTTCATTGTTTAATTTTTTTTCAATTTTTTTTCATTTTTGAACTAGAATTACCACAGCAGAAATTGTGGTTGGTTCACTCACTGTCGGCACTCTGACATTACAACCCCCATCCCCCCAGCATTTCTGTTCTGGCGCCATCCCTGAAGTTTTGTGATCAACAAAACGAAATCCTGTGAAAAGCTGTCAACAGTATATAATGTAAACAAACTTGCATTAAACCACTAAAACGGAAGTAAAGGGAATTTACCGGAAATAACTACAAAAAGTCAAACAAAACAAAAACGCGGATTAAGTTGATCCTACTCATCGAGAAGGCAGGGAGTACAGAGCCGTTTCTCAGGTAAATATTGAACTATGTGTTGCCATCGATTCGACTTCTGCTTAGTATGAATTTAATTTTGATTTATAAACTTTGTTGGAACCGACTGCCGCGATAGGCCTTGCAAGATACAAACATCTGATTAACTAAAACCCGCTACTGCATGCTCACGTTCAGTTAAGGTATAAATCACAAAACAATATTTAAAACGGGACAGCTTTACTTATAACTCATGTGAACATGTAATCATGTGTTAGCAAGTGGTTTGATTTTTCTTCATTTTTAAAATAGGCAGCTAAACACAACAGCCACCTTCCTACACTATTATTTCAATTAGAACCAGTAGTTTGTTTTCCAGGATGGCTCTAGGGAGGTGTTCAGGTCTCGGTTGCCAGCAAATTGAGTGAGACATCTCTAATTTGCCGACAATTTTAAAGGTCACCGAAAAGCACCCCTAGATCACGAAAGCTCCTAATTCTTGAGATGAAGCATTGCTCAAAATTACATTATACTGTAGCTCTGCGCTGCCTCAGCTTGTTTTTAATTTGTTCTTTAAATTTTACCAATATTGAGACTCGTGTTCTTATAAAATAGATTTTTTTAAAAATTTCTCACCCAAAAGAGGTTTTGAAATTATTGACAGTTTAGTTTATATTGCCTCAAGAAAAGCCATTTCTGACAGTTATTCATTGTATGAATATTATCTGAATAAAAAAATATTTCTATGTTACTGTTACGGCAAAATACACAAGGGCGTGGTTGTCATATGGGGAGGGAGGCAGAACCCTTTGACAACACCTTCTTAGCCACACCCTCTAGCAAAAGTATTGCCAGAAAAAGTATGATTGATCAAAATTAAGGGGCGGCGTTAGAAACTACCAATTTATGCGAAAATCTCAGAAAAATTTTTTGGGCTGGAGTGGCCCTTTAATTTAATGCAGCCGGTTGTAATGCTGAATCTGCCGAGTAAGGAACTATTTCACGATGCTGCCACAACCAACGCTACACATTTTAGGATTACGATCTTAAACATGCTTGACCAGGTTCTTTTCCAGGTTATTCCATCAAACATAGGCTTGAAGGCCATATCAGTCAACAAATTACAGTGGAGGGTAGCTTGTTTTCTTCAATAAAAATAAAAGATCATGGTCGGCGGAATTTTTCAGGACCATGGTCTTTCAATCGCTGGAAAATCTTAGTTTCTTTAAGAGTAATAACTTATGTAGACTCAGACAGTAGACAGGTTTATGGCACGTCCAGTCCCCTTATCGCATCCAGAGAAATTCTAGAGAAAGAGCATGAAAGATGAGAGAAATTCTAAAGAAGGAGCATAAAAGCTATACAACAAGGAACTCTATCCGTCCCCGATCTAATGATGCTAGGATTCATGTCTCAACTCTAGCGGATTAGTGTATATCATCGCATTACCTTATTAGGTTGACACTTGCTTGAAATAACAGGGATGATTGATGAGTGCTTTCCCACAACGAAAGTGGCTAAAGACTGGCTTAAGGCCAATCTCCATTTGGCGAAATTTTTTCGCTTCTTCGCCGGCGAAAGGTTATGAGCATGGGTATTTGAAATTTTTCGTTTCCTGCGCTGTGCGCGAAGTTCGCCTTGAATATTTGAACTTTTTTCTCTGTCGCCGGCGAATTTGAAGTCCTATGTACATATAGTATAGTGTCTGAGTCCAAAAGCAGCTTCGTGTTGGATGAGGAAATAATAAAATTTCTTGTTACAAGTACGTTACATGTTTCTTTTATAGTCCTACCAAAAGTGGTGGGGCTTATCCTATAGCTCTTGCCACAAGGTGTTTTAGAGTCACACATAGTCTCTCTTAACATTATTAGTTTGCGAAACTTCGATTCGTTCACTAGATATGGAACCACCAAAGACAACAATTGTTCAAACTTTGCATACGAAAAATAGTAAAAAATAGTTGGTAGTCATAATTGTAGATCTATAACCAGATTTTTGTAGGCTCCTAGCTCTTGATAGAATTTATGTACCCAAAGCCTTTTATTTTCTTTTGGTTGCTTTGTTTGGTTTCTTCAACAAATAAAGCAAAATCAGAAAATTTGTATTCTCATCCGACATCTTGAAATGCTTGGCACGTAGATATTTGCTTTCTATTTGGCACGCAAAGCTTTTGTGAGCTGGAAATTGTGTGGCATGTAGTTTTCGCTTTTCGTCAGCGCAATCGCCCAATGGAGATTGGCCTTAACACCACCATATTCAGGTAAAATTTCCACCATATTCACTTGAATATGATGGAAATTTTACCTGATGATCGTGTAAACCGGCTTTAAGACTAATCATAGGTGGTTGTACCTTGTTGATTACTTTTACCATGCACTGGCTAACTTTGAATTTGTTTACATATATATGTATATATATTTGTTTACATATATTGGTGCTTTGAAACTTGGATTCTCCAGTTTTTATAAGCCTGCAAACTTAGGAAGGACATGCTCCAGTTGATAAAAACTGTATTTTTTTTATTTATCTATATTTAATTAACTATTTAACTATTATTATATTTAACTATTTCCCTGATTTTTGGAGTAAGTATTGATATTTATATTGATACATAGATATCTATTGATACATAGATAAGATATCTCTCATGGGACAGTTTCAATTCTTTGCTTCGCTAGACAGTTGTGAGAGCTTCATGATACCTTAAGCGGGCAGGAAAATTTAATAGAAAATGTTGGATTTTCATTTCATTCCATTTTTCATTATAAATATTTTATCCTTCTCTATAATACACGGTATTATAAAAAAAATCTCCCCGATATCAAGATCTTGGCAAAAATCTAATTTCTCTCTGAAATTCATCAAAGAAATAAAAGATTGATACGAAGGGAAGATCGGTTAGGCACGTAACCATTCATGTAGTGTGTAGAAGCATGCAAAAAGTCCTTATCTAAATAGGCTGAAGAAAATTCTTAATCCTCTTACTGCCAACGTAAACGATTCTGGCCCAAGCCTTGTCATTACATTGAAATGGCAACCTATCTAATTTTTAGCTTTTCTTTTAGGAAAGGTTTATGTCAAAATTGATCAATCATGCGAGCAACATCATGCTTGGTGCTTTTGGGCCTAAATATATTGGCTAATCTTTCCTTTGCATCAAGTCAATGTAAGTATGACGGAAAACACTTCGAGTCTTATGACGTTGTGTACAAAGTCTATGATGAACGCAATGACTGGTGTTCCATTGGCATTTGCCTGCCAAGAGGTAATATTTGGAAACTTGTAGACTTGTCTTGTCGCCGAAAAGGTGCTATCTCGAAAGTAACTACCACATCAGCAACAACAGCAACATCAACAACGTCAGAACCAGTAAAACCCTCTCTGAAAGGGGCTGCTCAAACTTGCCTTTATAAAGGAGCCGAGTATCCAGTAGGCAGTGAGGTATTTCGTGGCATTGAAAAAGAAAAAGGAACACACTACAGCCTCATCTGCTCACCAAATGGTGAGGTAATTGTAAGTCCTAAAACAAAATATCATACTAACCAACCAGGTATTCAAACTGTCCCTTTGACTGCTCCTCCAAGAGAAACTGCACAGTCTCCTACAACTGAGCCAGCTGAGCCAACAACCCTTCCTACAACTGAACCAGCAGAGCCAACAACCCTTCCTACAACTGTACCGATAACTCATCCACGCGGCTGTTACAGTGACGGGAAATTTTACGCACCTGGTGCAGAGATTTCCAAAGGCTATGATCAATCCAGCAATTGGTGCTATGGGTCATATTGCGATGAAAGCGGGCAAGTAGTGCAATGGGACAATTTTAACTGTAAAAGCACGACTGGAACTCCAGAACCACCGACAACAGCTCCTGAAACTACTCCACCAAGAGAAATCCCAACACAGCCTCCTACAACTGAACTAGCTAAGCCAACAACCCTTCCTACAACTGAACCAACAGAGCCAACAACCCTTCCTACAACTGAACCAGCTAAACCAACAACTCTTGCTACAACTGAACCAACAGAGCCAACAACCCTTCCTACAACTGAACCAACAGAGCCAACAACCCTTCCTACAACTGTACCGATAACTCATCCACGCGGCTGTTACAGTGACGGGAAATTTTACGCACCTGGTGCAGAGATTTCCAAAGGCTATGATCAATCCAGCAATTGGTGCTATGGGTCATATTGCGATGAAAGCGGGCAAGTAGTGCAATGGGACAATTTTAAGTGTAAAAGCACGACTGGAACTCCAGAACCACCGACAACAGCTCCTGAAACTACTCCACCAAGAGAAATCCCAACACAGCCTTCTACAACTGAACCAGCTAAGCCAACAACTCTTGCTACAACTGAACCAACAGAGCCAACAACCCTTCCCACAACTGTACCGATAACTTATCCAAGCGGCTGTTACAGTGACGGGAAATTTTACGCACCTGGTGCAGAGATTTCGGAAGGCTATGATGAATCCAGTAATTGGTGCTATGGGTCATATTGCGATGAAAGCGGGCACGTAGTGCATTGGGACAATTTTAACTGTAAAAGCACCCCAGAACCACCAACAACAATCCCGGAAACTATCCCTTCTACTGCTCCTCTAAAAGAAACTACACAGCCCCCTACATCTGAACCAACTGAGCCAACAACGCCTTCTACCACTGTACCGACAACTTTTCCACGCGGCTGTTACAGTGACGGGAAATTTTACGAACCAGGTGCAGCAATATCTAAAGGTTATGATGAAACAGCGGATTGGTGCTATGGCCTATCTTGCAACTGGGATGGTGAAATAATTAACTGGGACACGTGGAATTGTAAAGGGAAGTTCACAACTCTACCACAAACACCGCCGACGACGAGTACTCTTAAAACGACACTGCCTTCTTTAAAGGAGTGTGTTTATGATTCTCGTATTTATCAACGGGGCAACGTCGTCTACGAAACATTTGACGAAACGAAGAACTGGTGCTATGGTCTTGTGTGTGATGAAAGTGGTCGTCTGGTTTACTGGGACAAATGGAATTGCAAAACAGCAATGACCACACCAAACTCCATATTGTCTCTGGAACCTTCAAATGTTATTGGTAAAATAAAGGAAGATGGAAGTGATAATGTGGATAGGCGAACCAAACAACTGGAGTGTATTTATGACGGTGTCAAATATAAGACGAGACGTTTTATCAAGAACTTATGCGTGCATGACGGTCGTGATTTGAAGTGCAGGCTTCTGTTTTGTAACGACGAAGGAGTGGTGATACCAAAACTGGTACATGACCTTACGCGAAAACAAGATTCAAAAAGAGTAGAAATTCCTTTTGAAAAGTAAAGCAGTCAAAAAAAACACTTATAACAGCTGTAATCGAAATGACTTGTTGAGAACTTAGGCCCTACGAAAAGGTAATGTCTGGAAAGTATGTTTTAGCACAAAGAGTTGAGAAGAATAAAAAACATTTTATCAAAAATTTATCCTCTGTTCATTCTTTGGTGAAAACTGTGTGTATTGAATTCCTTATCAGTTTATTTACTTTCATACAGTACCTTTCAAAATTTTCATTGCAACTGAATTTTTTTTAACAACTTTATAAACCTGAAAATTATTGTTATTTCTAATCTAGAGCCAGGAAATAGCTGGTAAAAGAGCTCCTTATAAAACATGCATCTGAGTATCGTGGAGGCTAGAATTTTTGACATTTTAAATGCATCATGTGCATTTCTTACTTAACTTATGAAAGAAGATCTAGAAGACTTATTTTTGGAATCGAGTAAGGAAACTGCAGAAATATAATACTTGTAGCAATATAATACATGTAGCTTGAGAAACAATTCCTTTCCAAGGCAGGAGTTCAATCTTCCTTCGATTTCTCTCTATGTATCCACAGCAACGCAAGCAAGAACTTAAGCATTTTAAAGATAACTAAAGGCAACAACACTGCGAGCGCAAGCAACAACGCAATGACGTCAACACAGTAGTATTGGAACCAGTACAGAGTGTTTGCGTTTGACTTCAAATGAGGCAGACGTCCACCATTATCAAGAGCGTATTGAACAAGATCTCCGGCCCTTTCTGCACTTGATTTTGGCCAGCTTTGCATACGTTTTGACGCCATCAATGCATGTTCTTTGTAGCTAAGAAAAACAGATACTAAAAATAGTTTTTAGACACAAGCACAGGTACAAGTCCTTAGGCATGTAAAGAAATAGTGTTTCGAAATTTGCATTGGCGAAGCCTAATATTTTTCCCTAAACAAGATTAACAAGTTATACTGACAGAGGTTCCCGAGAGATTGTTGTTGCTTTCAAATAGGACAAATCCACTTTCCTTTTATTGTGCTACTTAGAGTAGGGACCATCTTTCAAGGCCAAGGCGAAAAGAGCTGCCAACGTTATCAAGACCAAGACAAGATGGGAAAAGAAAGACAGTGAAAGATCTTTACCTTGAGTTGTTAATAACTTCTTCGATTGTGTGCTGCCACGTCTCGGCATCTGCATTTAAAATGTCGATGAATCTTGCCATTTTTGCCCTCTTTATAAATACCAAGGCATTTTGGATTCGCTCACCGGTGAAAGGCGCAGCGACGGTTGGAACACCGTGGTACGCAGCTTCCGCTGCGCCATTAAGTCCCATGTGACTGACAAAGGCCTTGGTTTTTTCATGTCCAAGAATGTCATTTTGAGGCAACCATTTAACTGCTTTAAGGTTAGCAGGAATTTCAAGGTTCGTTGTCGCTATTTTAGAATGAAAATGTTCGATTAAAATTTCTCGGCTGCTAGAAAAGCGCAGTTAAAGAATGCTATATACGCATTACTAGCAGAGGATTAACGTGCATCTTGTCCAAAAAGTTATTGCACATTGTTTTTTATCAGTGCAAATTGGTGAGTCGTCATTATTTCAATAAACACGGCTGTTGTGATAAGAAAAGTGTTGATGCATTTCAAAATGATTTCCTATCAAATATATACATTTCATTTTTGAAGATTTGAAGTACGGAAAACCCGGAACATGTCGTTGAATAACTCAAGGAAAGCAGAAATTTATATCCATATGTGGATCGCAAGTAACGCGCGGAGAAGTATAGCGCGTTTAATTGATTCCTTCTTTCGGCAGCCACCAGCCCCTCGCCGTTTTATTCTATTTAACCATCATATTTTGATCTGTTCCAAAGTATCTTGATATTATTTGTAGACGTAAAGAAGAATACTCAATTATGAGAGTTTTCAGACCCCCATAAATAAAATATATTTTTTAAGATAGAACGATAAAGTGAGAACATATAACAATAATAATATGATATAATATCATAATTAGTATCTTCCGATTTCGCGGTGCCAAAAACTTATTTGCTTAAATTCGAAACACTTCATATGGAATTGTAACTGAATATACTTTCTCCAATTGAACGGCAAATCCTTCAAAGGAAGTGGAGATGTAGACTAAACTTACATTAAAACAACGGGCGCGAAGAACTTAGTGGCTCAAAAGAAAGTCAAAGTAGGGTTTTATTATCATTTGTAATTTGTATATATTGAATTCTAATTAGGTGAGTTTATTTTTGTGCAATAGCTTCTGCAGTAAGCTTTTTAAGTGGAGGGCCCCTTAAAAATCAGCATTGCTGAAGGGCTACCTATCTTGGACATGTGAAATGAAATGATTAAACATTTCATCCAACGTTGAGGCTTTTTGGAGAGGTGACAAAACCATCCAAGATTCATCTTACATGTTTGGGGTCAAACAAACCATCAAATACTTTGTCATTTATTCTGCTGACATGTGTTGGTGGGGGGGGGGGGGGGGGGGGGCTAGCGAAGGCTAAAACAAACAACTTTTCAGCCAAAATCTTTCCAATCTGCGTTGGAAACATTACATCCAACATTCGCCCAATAAAGGAATATATACTAAATTGTACCTTCAAAACTTTTGCATTAAATTAAGCTAACCGTAAGCATATATGGTCCTTGAAGATTGTCCCCGCTGCTTTTCTTCTAACAAGAATCTCGTTCAACTGAATATTCGCACAAGAGCTGCAAGTTTGTGATTCAAGAGGTACAGTAAAATTGTGTAAAGCAACAGTTAAACTTGGCAAAAACTTACACTTCATTTTCCAGATGAACTTTTGTTTCATGCGAGAAATTGCAGTTAGAATTCGTTTGATGATCACTCCATCCATAAAACACACCGAGCTTCCAAAAGAAACCAATACTACTCCATGCTCTCCAGAACTTTGCATGAATTTTTCAATATCTTCGGGTAACTCTTTTGGTGGTTTCGCCAACAATGGTCCAACAAAAAAGGTATCTGAAATGTCAAGAATATACTCGAATAGAAGGTAAAAGCCGCTATTGTGTAGACAGATAAAGTTCGTTTTTTTCTTGGATTCCAGTAGAAATTATCCTATAGGCACGAAGTACAGATTGGGCAGCTATACCGGTAAGGCACTCGCTTTTTTCTGATTTGCCTATTTCGTTCAACAACTGGGTATATATTTTCCATCTTGTTCTTTTGGATCCTTATTCTGATATTTTATACTCTTAGGAATGTCAGAAGAAAAAGCTTTAAGTATGCTGTAAAAGTATTTGCTCTTTTCAAAGCCATTTTAAAGTATTGTACCGCCAAAAATTGTTCGCAAAAACAACTGTAGAGTCGTGAAGTAGCTTGGAGCTACTGAATTCTTTATTCATTATAAAAGAAGATGACATCGTCAGTGAGTTGAAAGGAATTAAATATGACGATTACAGAAATTAAAGGTTATCGAAAGCAGATCGGAAGAATGATTCAAAATTTCTTCTGACCGATCTCAGTTGTCTACTCCGTTGATACTGCTGAAGCTCCGGGTCCCTAGTTTTCGCAGGTTGTGGTGTTCTCAGGTTGAACCAGGGTAGGTAAGACTAGCCTGGATGAGGGCACGGTCGGGGCTAGGTGTAGTCGAGTTGAACATGCAACTACCCTGTGTACGAGAGCTTGAGAAATAGTGAAGGGAAATCCCGTCGTATATCCCCTCCCAGTTTCCCCATCCTATCGTAAATCCCATCGTAAATACCCACCCAGGGTTGCATGCGACGTCCACTTATCTCCCCCAGACCTGTCTTGTCTTATGTAGAGAGCAAAAATTGACATTGTAGGATACTCACTTGGCATGATTGGATGAGCATATTGATATGCAAAGTCGAGAGGCAGGATTATCAACTCTGTTTTTCCAAAAAGCTCAGAGAAACGTCCTTTGCTTTTCATACCATATGCATACTGCAGTTCTCTGAAATAGTAGTTGACCAAAAAATCCATCCCAATGTCTCTTAATTTATAATTGATAAAGTTTTGGGTTCTTTCTAAGAATGTCATTTCATCTGTTGATCTAGATGCTGCTGAAGGGATATTGCTGGGCAGGCTTGGAGCACCTGTATAATGACCAATGCAGAAGTAGGCAGCAGTGGTTAATGTGACGACTGGCTTGTCAAATAAGTCAGCTATGTAATATCCACATGGCATTATTGATATTGTAACGATCATGCTTGCGTCTTGTATCTCTTTTAGTGTATTGTTGTTTTGCAGCATTGCAAAGCAGGAATCAAGCAAAATCTGCAATGAATCTTTTACGACGTTCAGAAAAGAAATTGGCCCAAAATTAAGTGCTACGTCGCCAATCAACTGGTCTATGTTTTGCGCCAACTTTCTGTTTGGCAGTTGATAGTCAACATGTTTCACTTTGCCTTTCCGTGTTCGCAGAAATTCGGTGGTTAAAATCGAAACCTGCAAATATATGACAGTAACAATTTTGTTTCGACAAGTGAAGTGAAATTAGGGAGAGCTTTTCACACCTAAGTTTATCCCTTTTGCATGATGCAAACCTGCTGCCGATTCATTGGAATACGCTGGAGGTAAATATCAGTACAGTAAATAAGTACATTATAACAATCTATATGGAGTAATTAGGCTCTAAAACTTGACTAAACATTAGTTAAGTATGGGGGCCCCAAAACACAACTTTCACTAAGGGCCCCACACTGTTTAGCCTGCGCCGCAGACCCAATCCTCCAAAGAGACTCTATTCTCTTTGGAGGATAGGGTCTGCGGCGCAGGCTACACACTGCTCTGTTCGCCACTGTTCGCCGTTCGTAAACAAAGGAACAGAAAGCAGCCTTCTCTAAGCGAAAGCTCATGTTTGGTTGAAGAGAGAACCCTTTTTTGATTAGATTAGGGAATAAATCGACCAGCCAAAGTAAAAAGCAGGATTTCAAAAAGTTGTTGACCTTCCCACAAACCTGAATTTTATGACCTCAACCTTCCTCATTTAAACACAACACGAAATTGCTGAAAAACAGCTGGATTGTGTTCTGCACAAGACAAAAACATATAAATTATCTTTATTTTTATAAGAATATTGTTTATATGAATTTTTCAGGCTCAGAATCAACCAACTTTAAAGAATATCATAAAAATATTACACAGCAACAAAGAATCGCAAGCGGACGTGGTTTCTTTTTGAGGATGGGCGATGTTGCCCTGAAACCTTGTCAATTTTTTGTTTAAAATGAGAACATATTCAGGCTCAGAATGAAGTCTCTTAAGAATATTGAGGCTGGACAAAATTTTTAGCAGTCGTCTGAAAAAACAAGTGTAATCAGGATCTTCCAACATATTCATCTGATTTGATTTGCTTTTTAGAGAGAATGTCTTCAATAAATATTCGATGGTATGTAAAATGCAATTAGATAATTTTCCAATTTTGGCCTCCCAGAGTCAAAATGCCTGATAAATTTGTTTTTGGCCTACTTCTTAAGTTTAGCTTCTTTGGCATTTTTCCGCACAACTCTTTAGGACATACCTTTGTTGTAATATAAGTTTAGAATAAATATCGTTGCTCTTTTGTTCTTAATATTATTATGCTGTCCGTAGTCGATATTGGTTTTTAAAGGCAATCTGTCTCGTTGTGGATTGGTTAACGAGAACAATAGCTGGAACAATAGCCTAAACACGATTCCAGCTAGGGGACTAGAAACAATAAAAAATCCCTTTGTTCTTATAATCAATCAATGTCGTGACAGATTGCCTTTAAGCACGCTTAGCTGCATCTTGTTGTCTTAAAGTAATTGATTGATGGATTTATTGTTTAGCTCAGTTGGAGTTGGGAGGGGCGTGCTGATGGTTTTTAGAGAGAGGAATTGCGATCGATGAGTTAAAGTTGTCAAGGACATTTTCAAGTCGTTTTAAAGTTGTCAAGAATGGAATTAATTGTAATAATAACTTGTAAATATTATATATATATATATATATCGCGTTTATTTCATTGTGGATTTTGCTACCATACACCGACCAGCCTTAAAAAGCACAACACCTTTGCTTTACATAAACTTTAACACCCCAAGTAACAAACACATTTTTAACGGAAAGAGCAATAATACACAGTGATGACCCAAATGTCAATATTATTAGTCGACTTCATGATTAGAATGAATGATTAGAAAATCACCTTAGAAGCCCCTTTCTACCGTCTGCTGATCTCTCCCCCTTATGAACCTCTCCCCTTGGATAAAAGTCTGCGCCGTTGAGATACACTCCCGTCTAGAAAATACAGTACCCCGCCCCCTCCCCCTCCCCCTCCCCCTGAAATGCCAAAGAGTCCTTTCTACTTGTTTATTCATGATTTACTTTTAATTTATAATGGCCTATAAAAAACAAACCTTGTGTCCTCTATCAACCATTTCTTCTGCAAGTGCTAGCGTATTGAAATATGGGCTGTTTGCAACAGGCAGTGGCATAAATACAATATTCGCTGTTTTCTGTTCGCAAGCCCCGAGGCTTTGCAGTATTACAAAACTGAAAAAGACACTAGTCAATATCGAAACAGCCATTCTGTTCAGTGTTCAGGGAAGCAGAAAACAGCCACCCCAAGTTGTTTGATTATGAAGGTTGGATATTCCTATTACATTGTGGAGGACGGGGGTCTGAATAAGGTTGGACGAGTCTTATTCATTTAAGGAGGAACAATATAATGTACAAAAGAAACAATAGAACTAATAAGATTGGAACAATAGATCTTACGTAGATAGAAACAAAAACTTGACTACCCTTAAGCTACCCTTTGAAAGCTGACTAAAGCACACCTCTGTGAAACAAGCCCGGCGAGCCTTTTCCTTTCACGGGGGATAGCAGGAAAAAAGGCAATGACAGTTGGCTGGCGGGGATGGGATGTCGAGCCACTGGGGAAAAATTCATGCTGACTCGCGTGGGAAAGAATATTTCAGCTTAAAGGGGTCTTTGTGAAATGGAACCCCCCTCTGGAAACTGGGTTTTTCGAAAGGGCGATGTCCCCAGTGGGCATTTGTCACCTAGGGTGGTCTTCACCGCACTTGTTAAAGGGCATCCGAGGGGCTTTTTATGGACACCGTATGCGTTGGAAGTGATGGGCTGTCTGGATAGGAGGTTTGAAACAATTAAAACAGGAAAAAATTGTACGCATAACAGCGAACTAGTCCAATGATGCAGATCCAAAATCCAGATCAGATCATATGGGAGCTAGCCTGAGTTCTAGGGGCTCTGGCTAATGGGAGCATCCTTGCCGTAAATACCATTCTTTTGGTTTTTAACCATTAGAATAAGATTGTGTAAAGGATAGGGGTATGAATTGAATTGAAACTGATGATGTCCAAAATTCTATTGAATTTTGATGGCATGATGCCTGTAAAAGTATATCTAATTTCTTAATATACTATCTAGCGCACTGAATAGAAGACTGGAGGTAAGACTGGACACGGCGCTGAGAAATGAAAGGAAAGCATTGATCTATAAAATAGACTGGACCGAGCTTCCTTTTCTTTTGAAACACCAAAGTTTCAAACCCACTCAATATAACAATTTAAGTTACAGCCTCATTTCGAGACATTCTTCAAATTCTGCTGTACAAATTTTTTTTGACTCCAGATTCGGATTAAGGGCAAGAATTTTAGTCTACTTGAAAGTCTAAGGGGGTAAAGTTTCGCCTGGAACGATTTTTGCGGTCAAATCCCCTACAAAATTTTAAGTTTTATTTCTCCGTAAAATCTAAAATACCAGCAAAACAATATGAAAAATTGCATCTTGCCGAAAATTATGGTAATAAAAAAGGGCTTTGACAAGAGACTTGATAGTGGATTGGAAAAAAGGCTGGACAGAAGTCGGCATATGGGACGGGAAATGGGCCTGGTTAAGGGGTCGACTAAAGGGATCAGGGGCTGGATAAAGATCTGCCATAGAAGATAGAAGATGGACAGAAGATTTAATAAAGTAAACCTGATAATGGCTAGTAGACTTATAACATTAGGGGATGGAATTAGGGGCTTAGTTAGGACGTAGATTAAGGTCTGGGCATTACAATGGATTACGGTGATCCCCTCAAGAAGGTCTGAAAGCGGGTTGGAAAAAGATCACCTCCAATACACAGCCAGGTAAAAAGGATTTGTACTAAAAACAACTTAAAATGTCCCGATTCAGAATTCAGCCAAATAGTTGAAAATGAAAAAGGGAGGTGGTACTCATAGGATTTCCATACAATTAATTTTCATATAACGATATAGAGGTACAAAACGTTGTGCCTAAACCTTAATGATCGATCACATTCGTAAAATTCATCGCTAACAAAAAATGGTAAATGTCCAGATGCTTTTAAAAGACGTAAATAACTATTTGCTAACTTCATTTAGCCTTCTTTTCTAGCTTTCTTGTAAAGAAAGTGCACGACTGTTCAATGTTTTCTTGTAAATAATATAACCACTAGTAGCCAAACCGATTTCTAAAAACTATACACAACTACATCATCCTTGATAGCGACTATAAGAGTGAAATATAAACAGTTAAATCAAAACTAACCATCTGTGTAAAACAGGAAAGCATTTTAGATGATTAATCGTGCAATCTTACTTTGAAAGCGATGCAGATGTGGTATAAAGATTTTGGAGTACTGCAGGAAACGCCGAGGCCTTTAGATCAATAAAGGCAAATGTCCTTTTTAGCTTTGCATGATCAAAGACAAGCGTGTTTGCAAGTGGTTTACCTCCAGGGTCTTGTCTCGGCACACTACTTTTTAATATATATCAGTATGATTTGAGTGATGTTTGAAGTTATCAAAAGCTATTATTCTTCCGGTTTCAGTGACACCAGGGGTATAATTTTCAACAGTAACAGCTAAATATCTTGAAGTGAATGAGAATAAATGGACAACGATGAAATGCACTTTCTTAACGATTGACAAAAGCACGTAGCCATTTCTTTTGATGAAATCAAATATTTATATTACACAACTACCCATTATAAATAGGCCCATAATCAGCATATTTACATTGTATAATATTCAACGTGTGTTTTGGAATCGTTTACATCTGTGACTCTACTCAAATGTGCCTTTGAAGATATCGTGTATGCTATCGATGAATAACAAGTCGATAAAAGGTGAATCAAAGATCCTTTCTAAACATTGACTGACAGTGAATGAACAAATAGGGACAAGAACTTCAAAACAAGAGAAGAGCAGTGCACAATAATAGTTCAGCCAGCAAAAAAGCCATTCGGAATTCGGAAAAATTCCAATAATTTGAAAAAATTGGCAGAAGAAACTGTTCTAATCTTCCTTTGACTTTGACCTTCTTCCACAGAGAAATGAAATCATGAGTCTCAACATTTTACAGATAACTAAGAGTAATAACACTGCGAGCGCCAGCAAAAACGCAACGACATCGACACAGTAGTATTGAAACCAGTACAGAGTGTTTGCGTTTGACTTCAAATGAGGCAGACGTCCACCATTATCAAGAGCGTATTGAACAAGATCTCCGGCTCTTTCTGCACTTGATTTTGGCCAGCTTCGCATGCGTTTTGACGCCTTCATTGCATGCTCTTTGTAGCTACGGAAAAGGGAGATCAATACAACAAAACTTAATCTTCTGTATTAGCCATTTATAGAAAGGTTTCTTTTGTTCTTCACACTGGATAGACTTATTCACTTCAGGAAATGAATCGTATTGAAGCTAGGGTTGTAGACTATACAAAAAAGCTACAGATAACTTAGGGAAGGAAGATGTCTGTTGCCTGCAAAAATCAAACTCTAAACTGCAACATGAAAAGTAAGCACGATTCTACTTGAAATTCATTAAAATATACAGCGCTTACCTTGAATTATAAATAACCTCTTCGATGGAACTTTGCCATGTCTCTGCATCAGCATTTACTATGTCGATAAACTTCGCCATTTTCACTTTCTTGGAAAATAGCATTGCATTGTGGACTCGCTCACCTTTGATGGGCGCAGCGGCAATCGGTACACCGTGATACGCAGCTTCAGCGGCTCCGTTTATGCCCATGTGACTAACGAAAGCCTTTGTCTTTTCGTGGCCAAGAATGTCATTCTGGGGTACCCATTTCAGTGCTTTCAGGTTTGGGGGGATTGTCAAGTTTTCTGTTGCTGTTTAAAAATCAACATTCCAACATAAGCTATCGAAAGGATTACAATGTTATGTTTATTGATTAAAGAACCAACAACAAAGCTTTGCTTCGTCCAGCAAAATTAATATATTTTTTCAGTTTTGAAGATTTCTAAGGGGTAAAGTAAATAATTAGATAAAGAAACTTATTTGTCTACCCTAACCGGCATGCTCGAAGAATATAAAAACTGTAGGGTAAAAATAGATTTAATTTAATTGTCAATATGATTTTCTAATTCTCAATTCCTTATAGTTATTTTATGCAATGAATTGTTTCACGTGTTTGAATCATTATAGACATAAGGTAAAGAATGAGTAAATACGCAAACTTACATTTCAGTTTCCAGATGAATCTTTGTTTCATGCGTGAAATGGCAGTTAGAATTCTTTCAACAATTACTTGATCCATATCACACACTGCACTACCAAAAGCAAGCAACACAACTCCGTGCTCTCCTGAGTTTTGCATGAACTCTTCAAGGTCTTTTGGCAACTCCTTTGGTGCTTTTGGTAGAATTGGCCCAACATAAAAGGTATCTAAAACAGTAAGAGTCTACTCAGGGAGGATTCAGAATGGTCATATAGTTCTTACAGTTCAAGGACAGAATGGTCATATAGTTCTTACATTGTTAACAACAAACTCAAAGATCTTAATTTCAATGAAATTACACAGAATTTTAAACCAATAACATGCACTCAATTTGTCTAAAAAAGTGATGGAAATCCAGGCTTTCGTTTGGGGGGGGGGGAGGAGGCTCAGGACCACGATTTTCTGACAAGATAGCATCTTGGATCATATCGAATTTGAGAAAAAAATTATTGCTGCACATTTTGATGAAAATGGTGATTAGAAAACTTTGCTGGTGGACCCTTAAGAAATCTTTGCTGACCACGCCCTTTCATTTTGTAGTTAGAAGAACAATTGATATCTCATCTAAGGCATTGGTGATACAAGAAGTCGACCAATCATGATAAAAACATGATTGTAACCTCTTCAACTAAAAAATAACAGGAAATTAAACGTTGAAGTTCATTCTTTGCCTAAAATTATTTCTTTCTTTTTTCACTTTTCTACTCAGTTTCATTGTTCTTCAGTGGGAGGAATTCGATAAAAAGTTAGGCTAATTTTTACAGAGTTGAATTTAGATATATAATTCGCAAGCATTTTTTATTTTTGTCACATATTATTTGTTTGATTATTTAGTAGGGCTAATATTGTATAAGGTATGTTCAAGGGCACAAGTAGATTTTAGAGGCCCCTTGGCTGGGGGTAAAACAAGAAAAAGAGGACCATCTGGGAGCTAAGCCAGCAGAAAATTTGGCAAACACACCCTTAAGATTAGCTTAAAATACATTTCAGAACGATTTCTTGCAGTCCTTATCTTTTCGTTTAAATAGTTTAGTATTTCCTAGCCATACTTTTCTTACGTTCGATTAATTCAATTCTTTGAATCGCCTTCTTTACTTCATGAGGCTCCTCCTTACACGCTGAGGCCCTAGGAATATCACCTCTGTCCCCTCTCTTTGTGACCTCAGGTATGTTTAGGCTATCAAAGTTTGTGAGAAATACGGAAAAATTGCTCGCAATGACTATGAATTATATTTCTACCACTGAACACTTCTCCTGCTTATCGCTTCACAAACCGTTTTATCACTGCACCAATTGATCAAAACTAGGCATGTCTTGGATGGGCTTTTGGCATGTTCAGTCTTTGTCAGTCTTCTGACGAAAGCCCGAAATTTCCGACGAGAAGGCTGATTGGCGGCCTGCAGCCCCCCCCCATGCCTCCCTATCATTTCCGCCACTGTCTCAAAATAGATAATACTTACGGTACAAAACCTTTTTTTACTGCTGTTCTAAACATTCTAAGATCCTTAAGCTTTGTCAATGTCGGTTTTACCAAGATAAAATAAGGAATGCTCGATGCTATTTGCGTTGTTTTGGGTCGTATAGGGCCTGGTTTTGGCTGGTTTTGGCTGGTTCTGGGTCGTCATGGGTCGTCATGGGTCGTCATGGGTCGTCATGGGTCGTCATGGGTCGACATGGGTCGTCATGGGTCGTTTTGGGTGATTCCATAGTTTAGTAAAACTGTTTTACAATTCACGATTGTTGTTCGAGTAGATATATTTTTTAAACAGATACAGTCAACTCTGTGAAATTCAAACTCTTTGAGGGATCGTAAACTTGGTTGAATAACAATGTGTTCGATTCATAAGAGTTTTTCCAAAAGAATTTAGGTAACTTTGATTTTGCCTCTGTTATCCCTAAATCTCCATTTTATAAACTAAATCTATATCAACACAACTTGCACGGCAGTTGAAAATATAGGTAGCACTTGGGTAGTACACATGCTATTGACTGTACCACATGGGAAAGCCAAGATTCTTCAAACTTAGCCTTTCCATCTGCTCAACAAATATTGACTCAAATGACTTAAATAATAACAAAGACTACAATAACATCTATTTTAGGAACATTTCATGAATTGAAGTGCTTACATCACCAGCTTATATTTTAAAATTAGCAGCAATTTTGAACTCCAAAGGTTGCTCATCCCAGGTGACCAAATTGGTTGAAATTGGACCAATTGGACAAAGTGGACCAAAATTTTTGAATTACTTTAAGTTTGAATCATAGAGATTTGAATTATAGAGGTTGTTTGTGATGGTTTGTTAGGAGAATTTCAAGGGACCTGAAAATTTGGCCCAAATTACTAAAAAATGGAATAACTAGAGTTGACTGCATTATATTCTATTTTTGGAATTCTGAAAACATTGAAATATGCAATATGAAAAGTGAAGCAGAAAGCCCCAAAAAGGAATAAATTTGGCAGAACACTATTCTACACAAAAAAATTACCACTCACTTGGCATTAAAGGGTTGACATACTGGTATGCAAAGTCAACTGGCACTATGACCATCTCTGTTTTGCCAAATACTTCAGAGAAACTGCCTTTGCTTTTCCAACCATAAGCAGACTGCAGTTCTCTAAAATAATAGCTGATCCCAAAATCCATTGCAACATCTTTTATTTTGTACATAAGAAAATTTTCTACTCTCTCCAAGAAAGACATTTCATCTGTTAGCCTGGCTGCTGTTGTTGGGACATAACTTGGGGGACTTGGAGCTCCGGTGAGTGAGGCAATAACATATAATGCACCAGGGTGCAATGTTATGGTAGGTTTGTCAAATATGTCAGCAATGTAGTGCCCACAAGGCATCAATGATAATGTCACAATCATGTCTGCTTCTTGTATCTTTTTCATTGTGTCATCATTTTTAAGTATAGCAAAGCAAGAGTCTAGTAGGAAATCCAAGATATCTCTCACTGTCCTCACAAACAAAAGTGGCGTAAAACTTGTTGTAACATCACTCATTAATGCATTCAACCTGTCAACAAGTTCTGGATTGGAGAGCTGGTAATCAATATGCTCTACAGTGCTCTTTCGCTTCTTGAGGTATTTTGTTGTAAAAATTGAAACCTGCAAAAATTCCAAATTTTAGAAGGCAGAAAATGGAAGAATAGAACAGTTCTAGAGAGAAATTCCATGTCCATTCAGTTAAGAAAAGTGAATTCAATATTTGAAATAAGATGATGCTATATATTGTGTGTAAATGCCAGTGTGGGATGAAACTTTGGGCAGCTTGAGCTCTCAATGTCTGAGCTACGGGCTGGATAGAAATTATATGGGAGAATAGTATTACCTATGGATTTCCCATGACCAGTAAAAATAACATGCCAATGTGTGCCTTGGCAATATACTGAAGATGATCAACAAAACTAGTGGCAGACACTTCGTTAAATATTGGGAGGGGGGGTGGGCAAGCCTATTGTTTTAATAAGATGATGTCACATTTTCGCTTGATGAAAATAAACTTGCTCTGAATATATATAGATAAAACTAATTTTTGTTACTTTGTTACTTTTATTTCTGATTGTGTCAAAAAATTTCTTCCTCTTGTTTTCATTCCTTCTTTGAATTAATTGAATCTGTTCATCCATATTGTATTTGGCAAGTAACAAATAATGACATTTTTCTAAATCGCAAAAATACCCTTCAATATGGTCTTAGGTCAGTTCGTTAATTTGGAGCAAAATGCTGGAATAACATTCCCTTGGAGATAAAAAGTTCCCTATCAGCTTGTAGTTTTCATCACATACTTAAAACCATAATTATCGTAAATCCTCAAATAAGCCTCCCTGGGGGCTTATTTATTTTTATATTTTTGGATGGGGGTTATGCGAGGGGGGGGCTTATATGAGAGGGGCTTATAAAATTATTGTAGACCTTAAGAAGACATTATTAAAAGACCTTGTTTATTTTAGTAGGAATTTCTTTATAAGCATTTAATCAATTACTACCAAAAGTAGGAATTTGTTGTGGTAATTCAACAAAACGCCATAGACAACCTCAGATGGCAAAAATTATCAAATTGAGGGGTCCAATTTGAGGACTTACGGTAGCAGTGGGGGGGGCTTAGTGACAATATGTAGTTCTAGGGTAGGGGCTTATTCGAAGTGGGGGCTTTTTTGAGGGGGGCCAATTTGAGGATTTACGGCTCTGAAATCATGAAAAGTCCCCATTCAGCCCCCTGCCCGAAGTTAGATGAGTAAATTGTTCCAAGAAATTTTTGTTTAAAAAAGATATTTTGAAAAAATTAGCTAGGCAGTTATAAAAAGGGGGTGCTCTCTCCTCGATTAGCCTAGCTACTGAGAGAGCCTCTCCCTAAGAAATTCCCCTGCATACAACTTCTTTATCTTCATGAGGTAATAACCTATATTGTTTCTTTTAGATTTCTTGTGTAGTATTTATCTTGTAATTAGTTAAGCATGTTATATTTAATTGTATTCAATCTTTGTCTTTTTGGATTGTATGCTATGGAATTTTAAAATTATGTGAAACTGTAACTGAAACTTTCCTTTGTTTCAGAACCAAAGACCATTTTCTTCCAAAATATCGGGGGAGGCTACCATCCCCTCCCCCAGGTATCTGCCACTTAAAAAAAGTTGGCATCTTGGTCTGGGAATGAGTTTGTCAGGAGTGGAGTTTCTTCATAAAATATTAACCAGGGGTAGATGTCTATAACTGGAATCAAGAGTAACTGTAAATGGGTGCACAATGAATGTGAGATTTCTCTACTTGCAAGAAGTAATCTACTTGCAACATTGAGCGGGACAACTTGCCATTGCGACAAAAGCCTAGTTGTTCTTTTCATTGTACTACGAGATTGGGCAAAACGGCCTAAATGTAACAAACCTCGTGTCCCCGGTCAGCCATCTGCTCAGCAAGTTCCAAAGAATTGAAATATGGGCTATTTGCAATGGGAACCGTCATGAAAACAATCTTCGATTTTGCCTTTTCGCAAGCTCCATGGCTCTGCAACGCAGCCAGGACAAAAGCGCAGACCAACATACCGAGAACGCCCATTTTCACAGAAAGAGAAGGTCACAAATCAATATCAACCATAGATCTATGATATCAACATTCAATAAGGGTTCAAAGGTCGACGTCCGGCATAGAACTGGAACAAGGAGCCGGAGCCGCGTCGATGGCGGGACAAGGATCCGAATTGGTACCCTGGGTACCAGTCAATGGTGGAGCGGCGGGGCAGAGGGGGCTACAGTCCCCAGTCAAAAGGTAATCTAAGAAACTTTTAGGTTATGTTGGAGCAAGTGCACAATTTTGTAAAATTGTAAAATTGGTTATGTGAAATTGGTAAAATCATTCAATTTTCTTGCAGTTTACCTCATCAGTGCCGTCGAAACGAAATATCAGGGAGGGGGTTGGCTGCCCATAGTATTGCTCCCCATTCAATATATTGTTACAAAGGAAATATACTACAGCTTGGACAATTATTAGGGGAGGCTCAAGGTATTGGCAAATGGATAGTCTTTATACCTTATTCGAAACTTTTATTAACATCTGTATCCTGCCAAATTTGACACTACTGCCTAAGGGTGCAAGTAAAAACGTTTACTGTTGATGCTTTACCCTTTGAGAATGACATGATGACACAAATTTTGCTATTTGACACAATTTCCACTTTCAATTCAAAATGCAAATCTAATAGTTGTTTTGCAGTTGTCTTTACACAGTGGCCGAAACATGGGGGTGAGCGGGAAAATCGTTGGTTTCAGCGACCGCCTTTCACTCCAGGTGAATACTTGAACTTCTGCCATCCCCACTGCAGTTGGGACATGGTCTCCGTAGCCCCGACGCAAGTTTTGAAAACGGGAGAGTGCAAGGGCAAATTGAAGAGTCATAACTAAAGATTTTTTGTAAAAAGCCAAAGTTTTACGGAAAAAATCTTGCTGAGAAGACTTGGACTGACTGACTTAGTATATAGGTAGACTGACTTTCTAAAATAACCAACGCATAAAAGCAATAATTCATTAGTCTAAGAATTCTATTTGATGCTTTTACATTTTATAAAGACACAACAGCGAATCATTTCACATTCTTACAGTCTATAATAGCAAGGAAACTCCCTAGACCCGTTTAGGTCAACTACATACCCAGACATCGACTCTCGAAAAAACTAACTGTGCGTTTTACAATTACGGATAAGATATATTCAAGAGCATTAAATCATTACTAAAATAAATATTGCTCAATTAATGATTCAATTCTAATCTTCCAGCAAGTCTCTAAATTCGAACTACGATATATAATTGTCAGTCTTTACCATAAGAAGGCAAAGGATATGATATGATAAACATGCAAAATTTGTTTGAATTTATTCAATTTTGCCGTCCTTACTGGACGTACAGAAGCTTTCCTAAATAATCAAAAAAGGGAATAGTCTCGCCTGTATATATGAAAAAGATCCCTTTAACAAGGAACATTATAGACCTGAATGTCTATTAACAGCATTTTTGAAAGTATTTGAAAATGCAAAAGAGCTCTGGAAAAGAAATTCCCAAACCTTTCATGTGCGTATAGAAATACCTTTCTTCCCGCTCGTTTTAGACTGATGGAGGACTGGAAAAAATGGTTAGAAAGCAACAAATTTATCGGTGCTACATTACAGAGGACAAAAAGTTATCTCTTGCTTGTACAAGATTACCTCACCGCAAGAAAACAAAAAAAAGTTAAAGGACACTAAAGCATCTGGGTAAAGATTGGAGGAGTCCCACAAGGATCGATATTTGGCCCTCTGCTATTTAATTTTCATAAATCATATTTTGTTTGTACCTCAATAATGGATTACTGTGCTGCTGATGGCAACAAATCATCTGTCAACAAATACAGCTTAACTGTAACAACTTTTTAAGACCAACGCCAACAAATGTCTCGAATGTTTGAAATCCCTCTAAATTTCAAGGTATTGTCATTAAATTTGAAAAGTTCCATTAACCATCACGAATCCCACTCCCAAGGTTTTCAGAGGTCTCAATCTTATGTCCTAAAATTGCTACTGCAGTTTGGCTAAATTCAAGGACTCTTGGTCAGACACCCCAAAGAGTCATAACGGAAAAGATGCAATTCAATTCATTATTGAGATTGAATTATCTTTGTTTAATGACTTAATATGTAATATTTTTGTAAAATTATATGAAACAAGCTATAATATGATAAATCAATACTAAATTTTACAAATAAAAGCGTTATCAAGCAACAAAAACGGGATACCGCATAAAAAGCTAAAATAAACATAAAGAAATAAAACTGCGCTGCGTTGCAAAACAGGCCTGGTCATAAGATTTTTTAGAGGGAAGCAGTAAACAGCTCTTCTAGTAGTTTCCAGGTGAGCTATGTATAAGTAAATAAGAAAAGAAACAAAGGAAAATTGATTTCAAAGAGAGCAATTGGCGTTTTGGAACAATTAAGGAGAGCAATCTGTAGCTTTCCTCTGTCAGTTGAGGAGGGCCTTGAGGGGAGCAAGAGCTATGGCTCTCCTCAAACGGTCAGGCCTGCATTGCAAAGCTTCTATGAGGACAAAGCATAAAAATCAAGGCAATCAAGATAATATCTCAATCATAGCTGCAGCTCTCCTAGCAGGCGCTGGTACCAACGATCGAATGTATTTCAGCCAGCACAAACATGGAAAAACTATTTGTTGAGCAATCTAATCCTTCTTCGATTTCTCTCTACTCCTCCAGAGCAACGAAAGCAAGATCCTCAGCATTTTAAAGATAACTACGGGCAACAACACTGCCAGCGCAAGCAAAAATGCAATGACGTCGACACAGTAGTATTGGAACCAGTACAGAGTGTTTGCTTTTGACTTTAAATGAGGCAGACGGCCGCCATTATCAAGAGCGTATTGAACAAGATCTCCGGCTCTTTCTGCACTTGATTTTGGCCAGCTTCGCATACGTTTTGACGTCATCATTGCATGCTCTTTGTAGCTAGATGAAAAGAATTTAAAAATAAGTCACAATCTCATATGCAAGGTGTTTTAATCATGCTAGTTTTTGTAACGGGAAAGCGGAAGTCAATATTATCGTTCAACTTTATAAAAAGACTTAATTCTAAGCAGCAAAATGAAATGTTTTCTTTTAACAGCCCAATATGGAACAATAGTTTATTTAAAATTTGAAAGTGAGATCCATCCTTCCATATGTAAGTAAAACTTTAAAATACTAAAGTTTCTATTACTGATAATAACTTATTCGATCTTTCAGGAAAGTAAAAAACCTAAAAATAGGCGTTACCCCTTTGCCCTGCTTGAGGGCACTTGGCAATGGAACATCAAAGATATTTGAGAGAGGTGTTGGCGAAGAGTAAAGGGGCGCGTGCTTTTCTGGTAGAGCATCCAGTATGGCCTAAATATTGCACAAATACAAATGGACGTGAAGATAAATTTGACTCTTCAGTTGCTTGCTGGTAAAGACAAAAGGCCTGGCTCACTTCTATAGACATTAAACTTTATTTAGGGGGTCTAAATACAAAATACAGCTCAAAAAGACGTATTTTTATTTCCCCTTCCTGATCTTAATCGAATGCAGCTGCAAGTTTATCCGACAAATTAGCATTTATCCAGATTTCAGCATGGGTCCTTAAACGAGGGTACATCATTTACCTTGAATTGTATATGACTTCTTCGATAGTTCGTTGCCATGTATCTGCGTCAGCATTTACAATGTCAATAAACTTTGCCATTTTTACCCTCTTAGAGAACAGAATTGCATTATGGAACCGTTCGCCTTTAAAGGGCGCAGCGACAATCGGCACACCGTGATACGCAGCTTCAGCGGCTCCGTTTATGCCCATGTGACTAACGAAAGCCTTGGTCTTTTCGTGGCCAAGAATGTCATTCTGGGGTACCCATTTCAGTGCTTTCAGGTTTGGGGGGATTGTCAAGTTTTCCGTGGCTAAGAAAAAGATCAAGATAAATAAAATGAAGAAAATAAAGATAATGAATTTTTTATAGAATACATTTACTTGAAATAGATCGGTAGCTAATGTATGGCGTGTACACTTCATGTTCCGGATACGCGCATACATGTGTTGCGGGGTAAAGTAAGAATTCTTTAGTACGTATACATTAGATATATATATATATATATCAACATATTCAAATAGGTATTAAGGCACAAATGAATTAGGCAGCCTAATGGAAACAGCCGTTCAGGAGACTTCGTGGCATGCAGTATCCTGTATGATTCACATGCACAGAGTAAAAACATACTCAAGTTGATAATTAGGTTAATATAAGTTTTATAAGAGAAATAGATTAATAATCACACATTACATATTTAAATACAAAGACTGGGGTTAAGAGGAGTCAAGTGAGTTACAAGGAATCGGATGGACGAGTTGATTAAAGCCGCGTAATTGTAAGTAGAATATGGCAGCTTGAATAAAAATTATGTAGGCTTTTCTTGAGAAATTCGTTCACCTCTGCAACTTCTATTGAATCAGTCAGAGGAAAGCAATCAATGTAACAATTTAAGACTAGGTTTAAATTCTAAAGCTCCATCTTATATCTATCTGTTACCTCTGATTCAGCCTCTGTTGCAAGTAACGACATTTTGTATATACGCACTTATACAAAACAAGAACGCACTAACCTGTTCCTGTATGACCCTTGTCCTTGAGGTTATTAAGACAGATAGAAACTAAGTAACATGCAGGTAAACTCACATTTTAGTTTCCAAATGAACCTTTGTTTCATGCGTGAAATGGCAGTTAGAATTCTTTCAACAATGGCTTGGTCCATATTACACACTGCACTACCAAAAGCAAGCAACACAACTCCGTGCTCTCCTGAGTTTTGCATAAACTCTTCAAGATCTTCAGGTAACTCTTTTGATGGTTTTGCCAACAATGGTCCAACAAAATACGTATCTAAAAAATAAAATGTTCCGAGCGAATAAATTTTCAGAATGATCTGACAGTTTCAGGTCCCCTCTGCATCATTTCAGCCACTGCTCAAAGAAATATACCGATTCCTCACTTGTATATGGGAAGCCAGAATGAAGCGAAAAGGGCAGAATAACATGACTGCCCTGTACCCATTTTAAAAAGTATAAGCATATAGTATAAGCATATAGTTTTCGTCCTTTAAGAAAGATGTCAATGCAAAAGAAACGCCAAGAGGAGTGATTCGCCTATTTATTTCAGTAGTGTTTTGCAAACACATTTCAGCATTAGAAATGAATTACTGATACAAGCACGGGTGGATACAAGCTATTCTCGCAAAATGACGAATTTAAAATATCTTGCAATTACACTATAATTGGCATATCACTTTTAAAACAATCTTATAAAGAAGGCTTTATGCGTGTGATAACAATGAATAACTATGTGAATTTCACAGAGAACAAATTCGAGCAAGTAGTGCGACAAGGGCAGGACGCGAAAGTACGACTAGTACAAAGTAGATAGTTGTTCTAGAAACTGAGTAAAATGTTCGGGTTTTCAAATCCAAGCCCAAAGCTGCATTGTAAAACTGTTAAGCGCGTTGAAAGTAATTTATGGGCAAACATGTCCACCCTAGTGGTAACACGATACATTATGCCTGGTATCAGATTAATCGGATCATGCTACTTGTGAAAATTATGCTTAAGTAAAGATGAGTCAATGAAATATAAAAATAAACCAGTGTAGAAGTTAAAGGACACCTGTAGCAGACTTTAAAGCCTGCGAGAAAGAAATAAAATGGCGTTTCTTTCTATAGATCGTCTTACAACCATAACCGTATCTATCTACCAAATATCTTATAAATTTCTTCGTCTAGTTGATCTGTTGACGTTCAAGAGGTAAGGATGGGGACAACAAATAAAATAATGATGGCAATATATTTGTACATACTTAGTTAGATAAGGATAATTCAAAGAGCAAAATACTCACTAGGCATGATCGGAGAGACATATTGATAAGCAAAATCCATTGGCACTATCACCATCTCTGTTTTTCCAAAAAGCTCAGTGAAACTATCTTTACTTTTCCAGTTGTATGCCGACTGTAGGTCTCTAAACCAATATGTTAAGAAAGCCTTCACAATGATATCCCTGATTCTATAGGTGAGAAAATTTTGTACTCGCTCGATGAAAGACATTTCATCAGTAAACGGACCTGTGACCATCGGGACAAAGCTAGCAAGATCGGGAACTCCAGTATATGAGGCGATAAAAGAAAATGAAGCTGGGTGGAGTAATATTGTTGGCTTGTCGAATATATCAGCAATATAGTGTCCACATGGCATCACTGATATTGTCACGATCATGTCTGCTTCTTGGATGACTTTCATTGTGTCGTTGGTTTTCAACATCGCAAAGCAAGAATCAAGAAACAGCTGCGATACATCTCGTACCGCATTTATAAAGGTACGGGGACCAAAATCTTTTGATACATCGCCTGCCAAATCTTGCAGTTTTTCTATCTTCTGTGGATTCGGTAATGGATAATCAATATGTTTTACAGTGCTCGTCCGTTTCTTCAGGAACTTGGTTGTTAGAATCGAGACCTGCAAATACATATAAAATGTTATTATCATTGAGGCTTCTTACGAATTCTAATCTGTGCTTCTACTGGGGACTTTCGAGAGCATAGGAGCATTGTTAAATATACAACGGAGTCGTGGGAACATTCAAATTGTGTAGGAAACAAGATTTAACGTTAGTTTTTACAATAGTGAATATACACTAATTAAGACTAACGTGTAAGCAAGATAAGAGGCGGATTCAAGTAGAAGTGGTACTATTGGTCTTTGAGCTCCCATCATAACCTCTCAATGCTCAATATATTCTCTCCAGTCAGAGACATTCAAAACGTTTCGTCTTATTTTCTTAAAAACGTTTTTAAGTCTCTTAGGTAATGTAGAAACTAGAAACATTTCTTGGTAAACAGACATGGCCAATTAAAATATATTTTTGAGCTTGGGGTCTTTGGTTCCTACGTCACAGACCAAATCGAATAGGACTTTTGGTCCATGAAGGCAGTCGATTCGGTATGATGCACAGTAATGGACAGAACCCCTGTGACAGTACTTCGAGTCGCGTTAGGATTTAGACGAAGAAGACTTCATAGTTTCTCACATTTTCTTGATTATTAAAAAGCTCCTTTAACTACAAAATCAATCTATTTATATTCTTTAAAACGGAAATGCTAAATACAATGGTTGAGTGACAGTTGGCTACTACGCATACATACATTAAATACTTACATGGGGAAGAGGTTACAGAAGTATACAGCGATCCTGTTACACCCCGAGGAGGGGGGGGGTTATTTAAACCTTTTAGTTACAGGGCGTCCATCCGATAACTATGAGTAATTTTCCTTGTGATCTGATACTTTTGGGTACCTGATTTGCGATGAACTGTTGGATAGTTATGGGCTAAACTAACACAAAACAATTCAAATAGAGAATAAATCAACAGATGTGTTTAAACTAATTATTATAGGAAACAGTATAAATTTCTATGACTAGTGGTTTCTTACGTGCACAACAACAAAATTTTGTATTTTGACATTTTTGGGTCTTATCAACACTTTTTAGCTGATAATTCTGGGTCTGTTAAATTTGTTTTTGATACTTTATGGTGAATTTTGATAACTGCGGATGGACCTCCCCTGCAGAGTCTATATGTCACTCCCTTAGACTATATGTGATTGCAGAGTCTATATGTGAGTATATGAGACTGTATATGAAAAGCTGAGTGACTCCCCTGGGGAACAAAAGAGATTCAATTGACATATAGGATTTTAAAATCAGTCATCATAGTTTAGAAAATCCATTCCCTATTTCAGAACAGTAGTCACTACTTTCGAAAAGGCGTTTCACAGCTTACTTCGAGATCTCTCCTTGGTGGTGTTTGAATCTTACAGTCGAGCGCCCCGACTTGCTGCCCCGATGATGAAAAAGTCGACGGACCTCTAATCTCAGCCACAACCACAAGTACCACAGAAACTGAAATAGCTAGGACAGGCAGAAATTACTTAAAATGTTGTAAATGTGGCATACATCAAGTACCAGAAGTTTCGGTGGAATTGATTTTTGGTGAAGCGGGACAAACGAAAATTCAAGAAATTTAAGTTCTCTATGGGCTGAATTGCTGCTTCTTCTCGTTCTTCACAATTCCCTCGATAATTTTTTTAAACTTCTCAATTAGTACTTTCAAATTGGACGCCTCTCTTTGTAATTCACATTGCGATTGGCGATCGAAAATATTGTCAACTGTAAACGCTGCCAATTAATTTTCCTCTGTGGACTATAAAAAGGAGATAAAAAGGCCTACGCTAAATAAGAGTAGATGACATTCTTACCTTCTCTACAGCTCCATTTATTGGGCTGACAACAAAATACCCGATTTTTGCAACTTTTATGATTGCGTTCCCGATAATTTATGTTGAAGATAGAATTGCTCATTTCTTTACTCACCAAAATATTTCCTTTCCACCGAAATTTTTCATGTTTTCACCGAAATATACACCGAAATTTCGAAAATATGACCGAAATTTTTTCCACCGAAATTTTTGGCACCAGATTTTTTGGTACTTAATGTAAATGATTCAAAACTCAATGCCTGGGAGATAGTAAGATGGAGCCTAAAATGAGTATTTAACTGTTGATAGTTATAAAATGGTCTCGTAAAGTGTTTTTTAGGTATGATCCGGTAGGAAGCTTTATTCATAGTGGCATACACATTTGAAAATTTTTTCAAAAGCTTTTCTGCAAAAGTATTTGCAGCATCTTTGAGTAGCTTTGAGCTTTCTGTTCACATTTGCAAAAATTATTTTTGCTGTATCCCAACTAAAATAATTAAAGACAATAATTGTGTTGGCTTTAACATTCCTCCATTGAAATGAAAGAATGCGATGTTAATGCCGTATTCAAAAATGGTAACTCACTTTACAAAAATAATTACAGATCACTAGCAGTTTTGCCGTCAGTCACAACAGTTCTGACGAATCAAATATTACCTTTATTTAACAATTTTTTTCTCACAAACACTCTGGGCATATTGTCAGAGATAAAATAGTATTAAATGAAACCGTTTGAATCGCCGGGTGATGTGGATCTTTTTTTCGAGGTTGATTTGCATACCCGAATTTTAGTTATAGTGATACCCAATATGCCTTGCTAAAATTGGTTGAGACATTGGTTTATCCTGGCTTCGATTTTCTCAATCATGAGCTTGTGCTTAGTAAAGTGGGTGCAAATGGGTTTAGTAGGAAAGCCTTACAACCAGCATGTAGCCATCTAGTTGGTAGAAGGCAACAGGTCAAAGAAAATGGCTCATTCACCTCCTAGAAGAAAATGCTATTTGGTGTCCTACAAGGATCAGTACTAGGACCTCTTTGTAATCACGCTGCAAATACAACATTATGCTATCCTCATCCAGATATACAGGAGGTTATTGAAAATCTTGAAAAAAATACTGTTAAAATAAGTAGTTGCTTTAAAAAACTGTATGAAGAGATATGCCTATTCCACTTGCTGTGTCACGACTTTGCTTTGATCACTTGTGTAGGCCCACAAAGCTAGGGCTTTAAGTTCCAGCTCTTACCTAGTGTATAATTAATCAAAATTGATACTTCAGTTGTTCTCCAGAAACGATGAACAAATTAAGGTTGCAGAATTGGTGTCTGAAAAGCTCAAACTTATAGTCGGTGGAACAGAACTGAGAGTACCGTCACTTGCAGTGTTCAATTTGCCAATTGCCGTAGTTTGATTCAGTTTGAGGCAAGGCTATCTGAAAAAAACTGTGACATCAAAATTGCATCACAGTGTCATCAAATCAAAAATATTTTATCGGCTAACTCAGTTCAAGCATCGAAATGCAAAAGCTTTTGTCTCACAAACTGTAAAAAATATTAAAAAACGAAAAACGAGTTCGTGACCAGCAGGTTCAACTCCTCTACATTAGCTAATCAAATGCAATTGCAAATTTTGGCTGGAGAGGCCTTTTAAAGAAAAGATTAGCTAAGTTTTTAAATTTAACATTGAACTGTAGATAATGGTCTTACTTAGATTCTTTATTATAATTATTATATTTTTATTAATAATTATTGTATTAATAAGCCTATTGTGATAAAACACCATCCCTCAGCAAAATAGTTATCAGGGGTTTTCCAGGAAAATGAAAGTTGGCCCCTTTGTTGCATTATCAACTTGCAAAAAATGGGACAGATATTGCAATGGATTATTCCAATAAAAAATATCAAACTTATGAGTGATGTCGAATGGCTCAGAGTTTGTTTGGATCAAGAACTCAAATGAACTATTCATTTAATCACTGTCACACAGTGGCGGATTCAAGGGGCAACTAGGGGCAGTTGCCCCTCCCTCAACGAGTTGAAGCAAGTCTGGCACCCTTTTTTTGGAAATTGTGCGCCCCTTTTGAAGAATGAGAATCAGATGAAAAGAGTTCTTGGACCGATAGGTTAATTTGCTTCAAGGATTACCTCAAGTTATGTTGTTTATTTTTAAAAGGTATCTGAAATTGTTGTATACAGCATACTCTTGTAACCAATATTTGAAAATTTTTCAACGCCCCAACTACCAACTGCCCCTCCTTCAAATTTGCTCTGGATCCGCCCCTGCTGCTGTCACAAAAAAGATCTCAAGAGGTGTTATTGGTATTCTAAGGTATACAGAACAATATTTTCCTCTCTCTATCATTAAAACATTTTATAGAACCATGACAGAGCCCTATTACAAATACTGACATCTATTTTTGATGTAATGCTTGTGTATCAATTATAGAAAAATTGCAAATACTACAATATCAAGTTGCAAAGTGGATCACTAACAGCCCATGTGATGCCTCCCCTCTGCCAGTCACTCATACACTTGGATGATCCACAGAAAGGGAACCAATTGACATTGAATCTGCTAGAATAAGTTACAAATCTCTTGAATATGTATGAGCGCTCCTAAATGAGCAACATACATGTTTTAAACTAAAATATGTCAAATCTATCAAGTTTCATGAAAACCAAAAAATTATGATCATCTGTTCCTGAAGAACCAATATTCTATCCCAATACTTTTTGTTGGACTCCAATTTTTTTGTCTAGAATGTTTTCACAATTTTAATCAATATTAGAATCAGCTTAGTTTTCTAGCAGCATTTTACATATATTTTGGCATGACATCCTCTAACCTAATCCTTTGATTGCAGGGTTATCATGGGTAACAAAGATAGAATAAAACTTTTGTTGAAAAAAAGCAACTACCTTGTAGCAAAAGCAGCAAAAAATTACTAAATCCTCTGACAATAATTAAAATAAGCTCTTTGTTATGTTGCGTTTCATGTATATACTTTAAAGGTATCAATTATATCTATTTTAATATTTGATGTGGCATGTTTGTGTAGTTTTCAGTTAGTTTATTGTGATTATGTACTTGAAGTAGTATTGGCTTGTTATGTAATGGAATTGATATATTTTGGTTGTCATTGTTTGTTCAATGGTTTTTGTGTTCAAGCTTTGTATTTGTGTATTTATTTTGTTATGTAGTTGCATTGTGCAATATTCCCAGAGGTGTTATAAATGCATTACAGTGATTTATTCTATAGGATATTGTCTTGTTGAGTATGGTTGATCATTGACATGTAAAATGACACACTGATGTTGACTCATTGAATTTTTGAGCAGAAAACTTTGTGTTTTTGGACTGAATTCTCATAGAGTTTCCTTCACAAATGTTGAAAAATGAGGCTTCAACAAAATACATGCGACAAAGAACCTATTTGTTACACTCCTGAAAAATTGTTAATTTCTCTATATATTTATCTAGATGTAGAAGATCTCACTCTCCCAATGGTAGCTGTTTCCCTATTTGACCAACTGATCAGTGATTTGACCATAAAACTGCAAAGGAGAACTCTCTTTAAACAAGGGCCTAAATTTATTGATGATATGCATTGATCTACTGATATACCTTGATTTCTAAAAAGCAAAAGGATAAAAACAGCAGATTGAAAGATCTGATTTCCTGTTATGAGGTTAATTTTCCGTTTCCTGCTTCTTTCTAGCAGCTTTTAAAGATTCTCCTATTTGACCCCAAATGACAATTCCCCCTTTGACCCCTAACCTTATATAAAGTGCATCACACTCAGCTGCTTTATTTTGGGAAATCTTGTAACCTCTTTGCAGGATGTTGAAATTTGTTTGGATACGATGAGAATGCATATGTTTCTTTATGATTTTACCTATTTTCTCTCTATTTTTAATTAAAATGATGCTTTGTGATTTTTAAACACAATGTAGCCAACGCAGTAGAAAAACATTGTGATTTATTCTGCTTAAATTACAGCAGTTAAATTATAAAAGCTCTTTATGCGGTACATTGATACATGTCAAATCCAATTCAGAGGTTTGTTTTACGATATCAGTCTGATTTTAGTCATAAAAGATTTCCCAATATGTCCCTAAATTCTCTATTTGACCCAAGCGATTTGAACACAACTACCACTGGGGGTTTGAGCCCCTTGTCAAAGTCGAAGAATAATTAATACAACTTCTCGCTAATGTTTTTCGGCTATAATTTGTGAAAGGCTAGTCTTAAAATACATAGACTTTATACATAACACAACCAGATTAGGCTGAAATCTAGAACGGCCTAAACTAAGCACGGCCTAAAGTAACAAACCTCGTGTCCCCTGCTAGCCATCTGCTCTGCAAGTTCCAAAGAATTGAAATATGGGCTGTTTGCGAATGGAATTGTCATAAAAACAATCTTTGATTTTGCCTTTTCACAAGCTCCATGGCTCTGCAATGCTGCCAGGACATAAGTGCTTACCAACCAGGAGACAAGCGCATCGCCGAAGACACCCATTTTCAAACGAGAAGGTCAACAAGTCAACAAGAGCGCAGAGCACAAAGTCCGGCCGATTTAATAGGTGAACTAACTAGAAGTAGAGTGTAGTAAGTACCTAAAGTACCGTGGTCCGTTGGCAAATTTTACACCCGGTTTTTCGACGCATTGACCTTGTTAGAATTCTTCATACCAAAGGCTCCTGTAGGCTTGATTACTTTATGATTATTTTATAATTGCACTTAGCTGTTATTACAATATTACATATTGTCTTATTTTTATTTCGTTCTACTTTATTTTATTCTTATTATATCTTACTGTTATCATTCAAACTTAAAATCGTCATTATAAGCACATCAATTTGGATACATGGCTCGATAGCTTGCCCAAAGTTCTTTGCATGTGTCCATCAGCCTAAAATTGTTTAATTCTCTTCGCTGAATTATAAAATATTGCGGTTGACCATTCATTGTTATTTAGCCAAATAAACTTGGATATTGTATATTGAGTATAATTATGTTAACCGGTATATGGTAATTAATCAAATTTATGTTGAAAAAAATATTTTGAGTTTGAGTTTGAGTGAGTTTGAAGGCTCTAATAAAGAATGGAAAGCAAAAACGAAAACTTTCTCTACCAAAAAACGGTGATCACAACAACAGAACAACTTTACACACGGAAAACAAAACGTGCTATATGGTAAAACAAAAGAGGTGTTGGTGATAGCAATAACACAATAATCAAAAGGCTGTCCATTGTTTCTATGATGGGGGTAACTAAAACATCGCATCATCATAATTCCAACAGACCTGATCTTGCATATTTAGCAGTATTTCATGGAATATTCTGTCAAGTTATGCCGTCAAAATAAACAATTCTAAACATATTTTTTTTTTGACGATGACATGACAAAAACACATTTAAAGAAATTTCGAATTTCGATCCTATAACCTGAAAGATCATTAGGTACGTGTAAAAAGAAAGCGTGGGGCAGAGACTTTTAATCTATTATTTCATCTAATGGCTTCAAATAATGATAAACAAATAGTGCTATATCAAGTACAAAAATTTCCACAAATAAACTTAATTGCGTGCGGTGCAATTTAATAGAAAATAACTATGAATGTAAATAAATTGTATCAGGAATAGTACCCTGGGTACCAGACTCACTATATATGAAATAAAATAGAGAGTCTGGTCTAGTGCGCCCCATTCTCGTTCTGGTGTGCTGATATTAACCAATCAGGAGCGAGTGTACAGATTTCTGTACGTTCAAAGGTCACAGCGAAACAATAAACCTAGCTCTGGTATAAAACATTGAACAGAACAGAACATAAATAAATGCTAGCGACCGTAACGATTGAGTTTGAAGATGCTGTTAAAACTGCACTCAAAGAATATTTTCCGTATGTTGTGGAACTGAACACAGAACAGCATTGAAAGCCTTGTTTGTAGAGAGAAGAGACACCTTCGCCATATTGCCAACTGGCTTTGGAAAGTCTCTGATATTCCAGGCTGTGCCTCTCGTTGCAAAGAAATTAGGCCTTGTAGTGAAATGCAGTAGACACCGCAAGGCGCCGAGAACAAACAACAACAAACACAGTAAATCAGTTATAGCTAATATTTCGCCTGGCATACGGGGCTTCGCTTGTCATATTGCCCATATTTGCTGTGGTGACCTTCCAACGTGATGATTCTAACCGCCGCGGTGTCCAAGCGCGCTGCCTTCACAGTTAGGAAGTAGACGTTGAAAGTACACACAATTTATGAGGAAAATTACAAAAGACTATGATTAACAATTTGATAATGATTAACATTTAATAACTGCATTGTGCTAACTTTAATTTCATGCTTCGCACATGTTTTTTGCTGCCAAATGGCGTTTTAAACCTGATTGTTATCTTGAGGCAGAAAAGTCTATTACCACTGTTTTAAAAATGTCGACTTTAAAGAACTAAATAAAACACATTTGCTTTAAGATTTCCCAAAACTCCTCTGACTACTGAGTTTCTTTATTATTTTTCTGACAGTCTTGTTTCACAGGCCTAGTCTGTTAAATAGACTTCAGCTCTTTCAAGTAAGTTCACCAGAACGAGAATGGGGCGCACTAGACCAGACTCTCTATTATTTTATATAGTGAGTCTGGTACCCAGGGTACAGGAATAGATAAGGGATGAATAACGACGTTTCGAGCATCGACTTGATAACGGGCTAGCACCCCCCCCAAAAAAAGAGCCTTTTACCATGCTGCGTGGTCCTTGGTACAAACCCTTTACCTCCCTTTTCCTTTATCTTTCGATTGCATATAGTTAAAAATATAGTTTTGTCCATCGCCAAAGGGGTTTATGGGGTGCTGTAGTGTTGTACCGCCAATTATTTATCCACCTGTACATCGAAGATTTTGTCGGGCAAATAAAGAAATCGTTTTCTAGCTTTGTAATAGAGCTAAAATAATGCCAGCCTTTGGATTGTTACCATTTTGTATACGTAGGTATTTCGTCTGTTACGTAGATTCTTAGAAAATTCCCCTTGTGTCTCAAACGTTCTGTCTTCGCGCCACGTAGAGATTGCCTTTTTTCGGCATAAGCTATATTGATAGTTAAATATCCTGGCAATAAACCCCTGGTTGTATAGTTGAAAGTATTGATATAAATTTTGAAGTTGTGTTGGTGCTTGGCTTAAATGTATTCAACTTCTTGATGTTACTATAGACACAAGCATGTGGACAAAATATCTTTTGATTACTTTCTTCAATCTTCTTGTGCCCTTTTTAAGTTTGAGATTTCCTTGAATACACAATCAACAATGTTGAAAAAAATAAATCAAGCAATATTATCAAAATAAATATCTTATCAAGCAATATTTAAAAGATGTCTCAAGAAGTGAATAAAAGTTCGGGACAAAAATTTAAAACTAACTTATGCTCTACCTGCTCGTTACAGGCTGTTGTACCCATAAGAAAAATGATCTTCAATCAGCGAAAAATTAGCAAATATGGATAAACCGGTAGATTGGACAATTCTAATCCTCCTTCGACTTCCCTCTACTCTTCCAAAGCAACGAAAGCAAGAATCTCAGCATTTTAAAGATTACTAAGGGCAACAGCACTGCAAGCGCAAGCAAAAACGCAATGACGTCGACACAGTAGTATTTGAACCAGTACAGAGTGTTTGCGTTTGACTTCAAATGAGGCAGACGTCCACCATTATCAAGTGCATACTGAACAAGATCTCCGGCTCTCTCTGTGCCTGATTTAGGCCAGCTTCGCATACGTTTTGACGTCATTATTGCATGCTCCTTGTAGCTAAATGCAAAGGGTAACAGAAAACGTCATGTCGTGGTAATACTTGAAACATCCTTTACAAGACTTTGTTTTAAAAACGTTGTTAGTTGCAAACTAATGCTTTTAGCTACAATCTCAGATAAAGCTTACCAAAAAGCTCATTTTTCATTAACTGGTTAAAGTGATAAAATGCTTTATACAAAATCTAAAATTTAGCTTAATCGCTACGGGAAACTTTAGAAATCCACAGTTATATTAAATGATTTACCTTGAGTTGTGAATCACTTCTTCGATAGTTCGCTGCCATGCCTCTGCGTCAGCATTTTCAATGTCAACAAACTTCGCCATTTTCACTCTCGTAGAAAACAGGATTGCATTATGGACCCGTTCAAAATTGAAAGGCGCAGCGACTATCGGCACACCGTGATACGCAGCTTCAGCGGCTCCGTTTATGCCCATGTGACTAACGAAGGCCTTGGTCTTTTCGTGGCCAAGAATGTCATTCTGGGGTACCCATTTCAGCGCTTTCAGGTTTGGAGGAAGCTTCAGATTTTCGGTAGCTTTAAAAGTATTTAATATTAATAGAATAAAGATTAATACTTTACATCATAAAGTTGCTTCACATTACTTTACATTTACGTTACATTATCATTCATTTCTTTATAAAAGCGCAAAGAAACTTGCTTACTCCATTTTCGCTTAGAGGTGTTAAACCTTGGTATAACACAAATATCGAAAATAAGCAGGGATCCTCTTTGAAACGATTCAAAAATTCGTTTAATAGGCTTGTTAGTTCATCAATAGATACTTGACAACATCTAATTTGTTGGAAAATAAATTAAGGCAAGCCAAAGAGAAATATGGTAGCAGGGTATAAAAAATAAAGTATAGTATGGCATGGTATGGTACGGTATGGTATGGTATGGTATGGTATGGTAGGGGATGGTATGGTATGGTATGGTATGGTATGGTATGGTGTGGTGTGGTATGGTATGGTATGGTATGGTATGGTATGGTATGGTATGGTGTGGTATGGTACGGTATGGTATGGTATGGTACGGTATGGTATGATATGGTGTGGTATGGTATGGTATGGTATGGTATGGTAGGGGATGGTATGGTATGGTATGGTATGGTGTGGTATGGTATGGTGTGGTATGGTATGGTATGGTATGGTATGGTATGGTATGGTATGGTATGGTATGGTATGGTATGGTATGGTATGGTATGGTAGGGGATGGTGTGGTATGGTATGGTATGGTATGGTATGGTATGGTATGGTATGGTATGGTATGGTATGGTATGGTATGGTGTGGTATGGTATGGTATGGTATGGTATGGTATGGTATGGTATGGTATGGTGTGGTATGGTATGGTATGGTATGGTATGGTATGGTATGGTATGGTATTGTATGGTATGGTATGGTATGGTATGGTATGGTATGGTACTAGGCTAATTCAGACCCCGTTTAGATGGCACCGAATGAATATTCGTAAGAATGAAAATTAGGGGGGACGAAATCAGATACGTTAATATGGTACCGTACTACAATTATTCCACTAACCTCCCCGTGTACACGAAACCTGTTTTATATGGAAGATGTCACAAGGAGACGTTTAACAAAGCGTGCCAAATAAGGAACAATAACTCACGTGTCATTTTCCAGATGAACTTTTGCTTCATGCGTGAAATGGCAGTTAGGATTCTTTCCACAATTAATTGATCCATTTTACACGTTGTACTCCCAAAAGCGATTAGCACAACCCCGTGCTCTCCAGAGCTTTGCATGAACTCTTCAAGATCTGCATCTAGCTCCTTTGATGGTTTTGTCAAAAATGCTCCAACAAAAAAGATATCTAAAATAGAAAATGCTACAAAATTTCAGGCTAATAAAGTGTCAGAATGATCCAAAAATCCTGTATTAGTCTAAATCCTCTCTAACATTTGACTTGAAGTTAGCCTATTCTAACTTGAAAGCCTCGCCCTAAGAGGTTCTTCCTTTCTCTTTTTAGCATCTGACATTAGTTATCGACAAAAAATTGCCTAATCTTTAAATCATCGAAACTAACTAAAACGTTTAACACCAAAACAAAATTCACAGCAACTCGTTCAAGGAAAGTACGCCGGATGGTGGTTCTCAATTCTGCTTGGCTTTGTGTGCATCAAAGCAAGGAGGTAGGAACAATGAGGGGCAGTCTGCATTGCATACTGGATCCAAGATCATAATTTGTAAGCAGTACTTTTATTTGCAGAAACATCTTTCTGTTAATGAAGTGCGTCTAAATGCTTAATTTACCCACGGCTGTCAATAGGTTCTGGAGGCTCTTGGAAAAACCGAGAGAGGAATAGCTTTAAATGCGTTTCAGAATATTTCTGGCAGTCATTTCTTGCAATCGCTTTAAACGCTTTATTATCTTAAAATATACTTAAGTTGGTACGTTTGGTGTGCTTTTGCCTTCAGAATTGAATTTTTTACTTACTTTATGGCTCTCTAGATCGCTTGGTCCTGGGACAATTTGCCCCTTTGCCCCTTCTCGGTGGCCCTGAATTTTCCTCTGGATGAAGAGTTCCTATAATTCAGTCGAAAATAGAAAAACATAACACCTGCTCCCTTTTGCCTGATTACCCCGAATGGAACGTGGCCTTTTCCAAATTGCCTAAAGGAAACCACGTGGGCATTTCTTAAACGAATAATAATTTGAGAAAAGTATTCTTTTTCTGATACTTCTACACAAGCTATGTCATTTACCGTGGGAAGCTTATCAATGATTTGATCACTGTAACTTAACTTCTGTCACACTTCATTTTGTCCACTGTTTGAATAAAATGAAACAATACTCACTGGGCATTATTGGGGTTACATACTGATATGAGAAGTCAAGTGGCACTATGACCATCTCCGCTTTTCCGATGACCTCAGAGTAGCTCCCTTTGCTCATCCAGTCGTTTGCAGATTGCAGCACTCTAAACCAATATGTCATCCAGTAATTCACAAGGATGTCCCTAGTTCTATACGCGAGGAAATTCTTTATCCGCTCCAAGAAAGACATTTTATCACTAAACGGAGATAGCACCATCGGAACGAAGCTAGCAAGGGTTGGAACTCCAGTCTCCGAGGCGATAAGAGATAACGCAGCTAAATGCAGAGTTATCGTAGGCTTGTTAAAAATATCAGCAATATAGTGCCCACATGACATTAGCGATACTGTCACGATCATGTCTGCGTCCTTTATCTCTCGAAGCACATTGTCGTTTTCCAGCATTGCAAAGCAAGAGTCTAGTAGAAGCTGAGAGAACTCTCGAAGTGCATTTAAAAAGGCACGGGGTCCTAATGCAAGCGATGTATCACCTTGCAAACCAAGAATGTTTTCTGCTAACTGTGGATTCGGTAATTGATATTCAACATGCTTTACAGTGCTCTTACGCGTCTTCATATGTTTTGTTGTCAAAATTGAGACCTGAAAAATAAATGAAAATTTGTAGGAAAGAATAACTGCTTTATTCGTCTGTCCTCATAGAACGCGCGATGCTGTTCAGGCAGGGCTGTACACGCCTTGCGTATGTTCCTGAAGGAATTAGGATTCACTGACAAAAAGTTCTTTCTAATCATGGATGGTAGACAGTTAGCACGCCTTCCTGTTTATTTGAAAAGCTTTTTTAAAGAATAAATATTGAACGCCAGAAAACCAAATTTTTAACTTTTTTAGAAATCTCATGAATGATGCAAAGGTAAATGGGCAAAAAGGACTGAGGACGAAGCTATCTATTGGAATTTTGTTGTATCTGGATGATTTTGGCTTGCCGAAGCTGTGAGCGAAGAAGATATGGCAGTTCTGTTTGGGAAAGACTGGCTGTGATTTGACAGGCCGAGATGGTGACATGGCAGTACAGTTTAGAAGACACTCTAGAGACAGTCAACTTCCATTTCTTTGGTTACATCAAACAATGCACAAAATTATGCAGTTAGCTGAAATTGTCAACGGTTCCAATCTCGCAAGATTTATCTACGTCCTGTTTAGTTTCAGTGCATATTTCTTCGTGGATTTTTCTTGCAAGACTTCATTTGTCTCATTGCATAAGTTATTTTCATAGACAAGACCCAGCCCTCTACCTGGACAGGATGTTTATCAATATTGCACAGTCCATAGATGTGGCTGCATTTGTGGACTGGGGCGCAGGCTAACCCTGATTGGTTTACAACACGTTTGCATAGGTCAAGCAAGTGGTGATGGTTCTCAAGGGGCAAACAAGCTACTGGATTCAGAAACCACGAACCAGAGAATTGCCTAGAATTGCCGGCTGACAGTTCTGTACAGAGGGTAAAATAAAGTCAGCAAAATAAATATCTGCCTTATGTATGCTGTTGGTATCGATGGGAGCAGAATTAGGACGGGAAGATTCTCATGGATTCTATTTTTGTTTTGTTATTGTTACCAAGTACAGAGATACCGGGAGCCTTGCTCCCCCCCCCCCAAGAAAAATTTAAGTAAAATACTTTTATTTCGTAAAATATGTCCGTTGTTACACTTATTTATCAGGGTTGACACCCCCCTCCCGAACAAAAAGTTGTATCTCGGTCTATGGCTGTAACAATCTGATTTTTGCATTTGCACAGATTACTGAAGTATGGATCCGCCTTGGACATGTACACCCCATCCCACCCCGTGGGGCCGCCACTGCCCTTGTTTGTTATAAGAAATAAAAAGAGTGAGTGTCTACGTTAATGTTCATCTGAATTAGCCCAGACGGTGCACACAAACTTGGTAGGTTGCAGGAGAACAAACCAAGAGCCTATTTTCCTCCTTTGTGCCTGGTGAGCAACATTTCCATCCATTACTCCATAACAATACAAAACAATCCATGCAAGTGAGCGAAAAATTATCTGCTGTTCATTGCGTAAACACTATCGTATTACAACAACTGACCTCGTGCTTCATCTAGCCATAGAGAGAGGCAACTACCAGACAAATTTTCAACAGCGGTAGGCGTGACACGCCCTATGGTTGAGTTGCTCTCAAAAGATTCTGCAGCATGACTGAGCATGACACATTACAAGACAAACAGGGATCTAAATAAATCAGCAGATTGGAAACTGATCAAATGAAACAATAGATTTTTTTTAGTTCAACAATAAGCACAAAACGACATGACAATCGAGATTATTGAATTTAAATACCTTGAAACGGTCAATTTGATGCCAATTGAAAGTACGCTTTTGATTTTTAACAAGAAAACTAAAAACGTTAGTAAACATTTGAGATCTCTTGATCAAGCTGTTGTGATTCGATCCCTGATTCCATGATACCATTAAACAGAACGCCCCGATCTTCCTCCAGATGAAATTTGCTTTTACGTAAAACCATTGATAGTTTGGTTTGCCAAAAAGAAAAATTCAAGCACAACAGTATATTCCTCTCATTTTATATAATCTTGTCAAGCGATACATTGGCCTTCCTCAAAACCTTCCTCCAGCTCACATCTGTGGAACCCTGATGTAATCTGCACATTGCCAAAAAAACTCACCCCATAAATGCTTTCGAGGGGCAAATCACTGCAAGCAATATTTTTTTATACACAGTCTAAAAATGTACATTTTACAAGAACAAGATTACAAAGACGATTTCAAGCAAGATTTCATTATTGATTAATCATTCAATGACAATGAATTAAAAGACCGTTGGACAAACCTCTAGTCCACGCCCCGCCAGCTCTTCAGCAAATTCCAAGCAATTAAAGTAGGGGCTTGATTGAATGCTGAGTGTAACAAACACAATCTTCGACTTTGCATTTCTGCCACCCATGTAAAACTAGCGACCAAAGTGCGACCAAGACTCTGAAACGCATTTCACCAGGGTAAACAAGAATAAGAAACAGAGTCGAATCCGTTCATTCAAGCTTCGAATAAACGGAATAGGGTACGTTCAGCGCACGATGGTTCATACGGTGACTTGAACCCAGTCATAGATGATGTTTGTTAAAACCGAGTGTTCTCCAGCTGTATGAAAGGGGTTATTAGCCCTCCATGAGTCTGATCATGGGCGCTGAAGCGAAAGATTCCCAAAAATTTGAGACCTTGGGAGTCAACGATTCGACGGGAAAGTCTGCTTTCCCATCCTTTGCCTGCTTTCAGTGACATCCCAACTCAGCAAGGGGGGGGAGTTTGAGGGCTGAAGGATAAAAAAATTCAACCTCACATATAATCATCCTTAACGAAAAGTTGATATATCTTTTATTTCAAATTTGTTTTCTGTTTCAGAGAAGTTAGCTATCTTTCTCTGCAAAGATTTAATACAACGGAACAGCAAACAACATAAATCACGAGGACATATTAAAAGTCGATTATCTTGATAGAAACTGTAACAACTGAAGAATAATTGATGGTTTACAAACCTCTAAGATGCCTTGCTCCAGAAAACTAATCGGAAATTTTTACAAAAATTCATCACGCAGCATGAGAATTTGAAAGATAACGAATTGAAAGATGAAATATACAAAAAAAACTGAGATACATTTCCCACTTATAAAGACATGTCAGGCCCGTCGGAACCGGGGGGGCTGGAGCCCCCCTAATAGTCGTCAAACTGTAGTATGTTTCCTTTATAACAGTGTACTGAATAAGGAGGAAAACAATGGGCAGCCCCCCCCCCCCAATATGAAAATCGTTCCGACGGCACTGCATGTAAGTATCGGCGAGATGTCTCATTTCGCGGTGCTGGAGTTTGAAACCTATTTTATCCGAAAGTCAAGCAGGTATCCTCTTTCAGAATATTCAAGGGTGCTTCAAAATAACTCCTTCATTATTGCTTGATCTTACTTATATGCATTTGCTTAATCATTTATTTACTATTGTAGCCAGAACAATAGGATTTTTCCTTCTATTTTATGATTATAATTGTAATTGATATACATTATATATATTTCGTAAGATTTTCATGCAATCTAATTTCTGAAAAGCAACCCCTCTCCACTGACGGAGCAACCTTGATTAAAGTAACTTAAATGAACGAAATAATTAATGAAATGAAACAAAACATACCTCATCATTTTTATATAAAACAATAAAACGTTTATCTTCTCTTAAAATAAATTTCAATTTATCGTCAATTTCATAAACATTCTTTTTAGTATTCTTTGGTATCCTCTTAGGAACGGATTCCCATTTTGAAGAGGGACGCCCATTCGGTGGGCGCTCATTCGACTTATTAAAATCGGCGCGCATTAAAAATTTGACTTCTTACGGGCTGCGCTTATTCAAAAGCAGCGCTCATCTAGAGCTTACGGCGTTGTCTTAAGTTGCGCTATGCAACCGAGGCTACGAACAAAACGAGTTCGACTTGATGATTTCGACGCGGCTACTCTTCGCGCTTAAAACAAAAACGACGCTCCGTGATATCGTTCGTGAAATCATGATTTAAACGTATCTTAGATATGGTAATTGAATAAAAATGATGCAGATATACATCTAGAAGAATGTTTCTAAAAGATGAAAAAGAGTGTATATGAAAACCTCTTAAAAAAGCAAAAATCAAGCCTGGTCTTTGCTGTTACGTCTCTATAAGCTCCATTCCCCCTGAGATAAAGGCCAGCGAAAAGCTATTCACGCGAAGGCTTTTTCAGGACATTTTTGTTCTCTGTTTGATTATCTCTTGCAACGAAATTATCTGGCAAAATTGATTTGGCAAGAAACAAAATTTTTAGGATATCCTCGAAGAGTAAATTTTTGTACCTGAATTAACGTTCCATCTGCATTTTATATGTGGGGTGTTTTTGCATACAGGGCAGAAGAGAAAGGAAGAGTACCTCGGAATTGGAAAGTGACCCTCGTGATATGCAGATATATCATTTTGTATTGTAGTTGTATTTGTTTCCACATAGCATCCGAAGGTAGTTGAAAGACACCGAGAAGCTACGCTAATCGAGCAATGACCAGGCCATTCCACTCGATGTGACCACACCTCGTGATTCCTACGCCACGAAATGCAAAAAAGCTGGCGACTCTCCTCAGTCTGGGCGAAAGTTTGGTCATGCTAGGGTAGGGACGCGAACCCCAGACCCTTGATCTGTAGTCCGCGACCCTATCCGCCGAGCAACCCTCGCATCAGTCAAGATACTTGAAATAAAAAATCGGAAAACACCCTTCGAATCCTATGAATGCCGGTCGACTGGCCTACATATAATATAAAAAACAACTGCAAATCTTAGAGCGCCGTTTCAAGCTTATGTTCCAGCCTTGGATTGTACCAACAGCTGAAACAAACCAAGAGGGCTTAAAGCTTTATCAAAATTAATACTTTTTGTCAATTTTACAATGTTTCCTACCTGCTCACACTTTTCTCTATGAATAACCTATATTAAATTATAGACTCATCAAAAAATAACCAAAGCCTTGCGGTTGTCATTAACTTGAAGATCACTAGTTGTAGTGGCTTTTTCGCTGGAAAGGGCGACTGAAGAATAAATTTTTTAACGAAGAGACACCCCTCCCCGCGAAATCGAAAAATATCACCTGCACATGAGAAGGACCGAGTAAGACACTTTTTGCGAGAATGCTTTCGCATTTAACTTGGTTTTTCCGCAATGGAAATATAGCCTTACAGCCTGTGATGCAAATGGGAAAAATTTCTTCATTCAACACAAAATAAGCAAATATGGAAAAACCATTGTTTGAGCAATCTAATCCTTCTTCGATTTCTCTGTTTTCCTCCACATCAACGCAAGCAAGAACCTCAGCATTTTAATGATAACTAAGGGCAATAGCACTGCGAGCGCAAGCAAAAACGCAATGACGTCGACACAGTAGTATTGGAACCAGTACAGAGTGTTTGCGTTTGACTTCAAATGAGGCAGACGTCCACCATTATCAAGTGCATACTGAACAAGATCTCCGGCTCTCTCTGTGCCTGATTTAGGCCAGCTTCGCATACGTTTTGACGTCATCATTGCATTCTCCTTGTAGCTAAATGCAAAGGATAACAGAAACAATTATGTCATAGTCATTGGTGACACTTAAAATACAGTTAAAACCAGCGTGTAAGAACCTACTTTTTTCAGAGTTTGGCAAAACAGGTTTTAGTATTATGGGTTACCTATTGACAGTTGAGGCTAAATAGGTTCTTTTTAATATTCTTTATTTCTTCACAGTAGATATTGTTGCTTATTTTCAGAAAATATCATTAAATCTGGTCTGTTCTTCATCCTTAATATTTTTAAGTGTACTAATGTTGCTAAAAGTCCACCAAAATTGATACACTGTATAAATAGTAACAATAATTGTTTCGTAATAACATTTCAAATTTAACATACATTTTCCATTTTGCGTTTTGTTTTAAGTATACAATTATCTGTCATCTTTGGATTTTGGTAAAAAGTATATAAATTTAAAGTGCCTGTGACATGACTTTTTTTATTCTCTTAATTGAAGCGTTGCACTGCTCTTATAGTAGATCTGAACTTTTTTTTTAAATAAAAGCGTTTTGATATTGAAATTAAGCAAAATAGTGCGGCCTAGCCAAGTCACTTTATCATCATTCGCCGTTCTCTTGTGACGTCATGGGACGAACTCGTTATTGTAACAATGTAAGCGCAACCTTCAAAAATCTCATCCTCGCTGCCACTACTTTCTCTGGAAATATCGCTCATCTTGGACCTGTTAGATTTCCCTCATTGACTACGATACAAAAACTCGAAGGAGGAGGCGATCGGATTCCTCCCGTGACGTCACTGTCTACTCATTCTGAAAACCAAGATGGCGAATTTTGGCGTAGAAGATCGCCAATAACTCCTTCATTTCTCACTAAACGTAAAAACTAACCTCAGAAATAAAAAATTGGTTGCCCTAACATGTTGAAATTTGCAAGCTAAAGGGGGGCATCAACAGTTATTTCTCAAAAAACCCTTGGGACATAACGGAGGGAGCTTATACCTAATATATAAAAAGCTCGACTTTTCAAAAAAAGTTTTATAAAAACGTTGAGCAATTTCAAAGGCAGATTCTTGCTTCAATCGCTAGAGAATAACTTGAAAACCCTGCAGTTACATTACAGAACCTACCTTGAATTGTATATCACTTCTTCCATAGTCCTTTGCCATGTCTCTGCGTCAGCGGTTTTAATGTCGATAATCTTGGCCATTTTTATCTTCTTAGAAAACATAATCGTATTGTGCAATCGTTCAGCTGTGAATGGCACAGCGACAATCGGCACACCGTGATACGCAGCTTCAGCGGCTCCGTTTATGCCCATGTGACTAACGAAAGCCTTTGTCTTTTCGTGGCCAAGTATGTCATTCTGGGGTACCCATTTCAATGCTTTCAGGTTTGGGGGGATTGTCAAGTTTTCTGTCGCTGCGAATAAAAAAGTCTCACTATACATTGCATGAAGGTTTTGTAATTACATTTACAATAAGGAATAAGGAATAGATGATTGCACTGTCTCTTTCATCACAGACTTCATTGGGACCTAGAAATCGTCAAAACGGGTAGACTATCTAGAGAAAAGCTTTAGGTTTCTTTTCTAACTTGTCTTGACAGCTGTCTGCAGAAATTGGCTGTGTTTTGTATTTTCTTGCAGTACGATATTAGGCCGGTTTTGGAACTATAGTCACAAAGCATGCCGGTTGCGCAAGAGCCTTTAAAGTTCAGTTTAGCCCTTGCTACTAAATCAATCTTTCCAATTGAGCCCCTTCCGTTTGAGCAGGAATTTGAATTTGAATCCCTCCAAAGCTTCACAATATCATAAAAAAAGACGGCAAAGGAAATCAAGAATTTCTTGATAAGTTTTCATGTTTTCTTGCGTAACGTTTTCATTTGAACTGATTGTAAGTCTTCTACAGTCCAAAACATTCCTTGTTTTGCTGCCGAACAATATTTACTCTGGGTACTAGAGCCACCGTAAATTCAAGGTAATGAATTTCAGAACCAGGTGAAATTCCACATTCCACTGGTTTGATGGGGAAAATGCATGTACTCATGTGGCCATATCTCAACCAATTTGAAATAGACCTAACTGATTTTGTACACTTAAAGGTATTTTATGGTGTTGCTTCAAACTATGCGAACAAAGCCCAAAGGTTTTAAAAATATACCTTTATAACGTCAATATTTTGCTTCTATATTCACTTTTAGCAAACGTTATTGCAACATTCTTTCCAAGAAAATCCAAAAAACCTTGTGAGCTGTTCTGTCACATTTCTTGTTTACAAGTATGTCAAGATACAGCATGTCAAGGCGTTGTTCCCAATCTTCCTAATAGAATAAAATCACTTTGACATCAAGGGCAATAAACTCCATTAATGTGTTTGGTCTTTCCAATCAAAGTATAGAAAAGATGCAGGAACATGTCACTTCGAAAACAAGCACGGACATTGATTTTCAAGAAACTATAAATGGAAAGAAAATGTGCACCCATTGTAACTGGACGCATATTGATAGCTCAACTTTGAATTGAATAAATGATGCTTCTTAACACCCCTCCCAAAATATTTCTCAATTTTGATGTCCAGCGCAAGCTTTAGAGGCAATCTACCCTCTCCCTGAATTTACGGCAGAAGTGGTTACCCTTTTCCGCGGCATAACTCATCTGGGCAAATTTGGGAGTGCCCCAGGCTTCGGTACCATAAAAAAACGGTCCAGCGGACTTGAATAAATAAATTTGAGCACACCAACATTTCACATAGTTTATTACTTTGCTTATTAAAAATATACATGATTAATAGTGCCACTTTTCAATCAAACCTTTCAAAATGATGACAGCATTGTTGATTAGAGGTAGTAAAGAATGGAAATGCTTTTTATTATTCTTGGCGTTCCATGTCTATGGCTTTAGAATTCGAATATAACGTCATCAGCCCCACCAAAAATTTACCCCACGAGCCGCCACTGCGTATTCAACTTAGATTAAGCATAACAAAGTCTCTATCTATCAAGGATAAGATACATCAGCACTGGCAGCCTATAGATGATCTGAAAAACTTTGACATATACTGTAACCTCGAACTGTAAGTTTAGTTCAACCCCTGGCTGGGAATTTCTACGGACTTCCATGTTCAAGAAATTCGCTCAAGCAAAGAATGTGAGAGATCTGTCAAAATGAATGCTCTTTACTTTTCGTGTGACAAGTGAATATCTCGGACTCGCGCACTTGTTGTGAAATTCAGACTTTTGAAATTGGCCTAGCCACTGGTGAGAAAGCTAATACTCAATGGCGGAAGAAGGCTACATCAATGAATCTTTATTTCTTCCATTTTGAATCAATGCCAATACAGTTAGGCTGATTAAGGGCAGATAAATAAATAAACAAAACTCGCATTTCATTTTCCAGATGAACTTTTGCTTCATGCGTGAAATGGCAGTTAGAATTCTTTCAACAATGACTTGGTCCATACTACACACTGCACTACCAAAAGCAAGCAACACAACTCCGTGCTCTCCAGAGCTTTGCATGAACTCTTCAAGATCTTCAGGTAACTGTTTTGATGGCTTTGTCAAAAATGATCCAACAAAGAAGGTATCTAGAATAAGAAGTACCAATATTCTAAAAAGAGCTGATAGAATCAGCCAAATGCCCTGTCTGTATGAAACACCCAAAGTTGTGATTGCTTCCCAAGTGATAAACTAATGAAGTCGAATTTACGTTAAAAAAAGTCAACCTTCTTTTAACCCAGGTCAAATTTCAACCCCCTTCGCGAGCATACAGTGCCTATGATGTTCCACCACAAAATGCGTTTCGTGTATAATTAAAAAGGCTCTTTAAATGAAAACACAGGACACAAAAGTGCCAATGAGAAAAATTGTTGAATGTCTGCTTTTGATACCTGATTTCCTCTAAAGAAAAAAACAGAAACAATCTAGAAAGTTGACAGGTTTCTTATAAAGCTATTTCAATAAGGATATGAATTCTGGTGAGACTTTGTTGTGGCATATTCATTTATATTTTTATCAAATAA